AGGTGGAATGAAAAGAGGGAAAACAGAACGAAGAGGGAAAGATTGGCGGACAAGGAAAGGCGCCCTCGACCTTTGAGCCAGGTAGCATGCGATGAATTTACACAGAAAGGACAATAAGCTCTGTGAAGGCTCGCTGCTTATTGGACGCCCAGCGTCATTGTCAGGGCTCTTATTAGCTATTCCCCCAGTGGCTCCATTACATCCCAGCTGCCACCCTCAAAGATACCCTTCCTCTTTTGCACCGCTGCTTCCTGTAGAAACAGATTAGAAGCCCAAATTACTACCATCAGAGGAGGACTTAAGGTTCGGGGCTGTCTCCCAGTACTGGAAACCACCAAATGACAAGACAGCGAGGTGGAGAAAATAAATGTATGCCGCCGGATGCTTCATCCGTGAGGGGCTCGATATTAAACGATCAAATGTGGATTGGCAGACTGGGTCCTGAGTTTAGAAAAATTTGGATTTTTACAAAAAAAATTGGATTTTTAGAGTCATACCACAACTTTCAATTGAGACGAGGACTATACCTTAAGCTACTTGTATTTCATGACTAACTGTTCCAACGCTTTGACAGATAGAGTACAGACTCTAGGGTATTTTTTTTTAAGTCTATTCTCTCCTTTCTTGCCAGGCAAATAAAGTCTTCCGTCACCGCTCTCCTTCTGGGAATCCTCTTTTAAAGTAGGATAAGAAACTCAACTTTACTTTGCTTCAAAAAAATCAGAACATGTCTGGAATCTTTGAGCCTGTTTAGGTAGAAAATGGATGTAAAATAGACACAAAGTATTAGTCAAGGACAGTTTGAGATGTCATTGAAATCTGTGCTCAACAAAGTATTTTGTTTCTGCAAACATGTTGAAGGCCCCTGAGACGCCATCGAAATGCTCTCAACTTCAAACTTATTGTGTATTCCTCCAAAGGTCGGGACTGGAAGGTGAATCTCGTTATTGAGGGCCGTGTTTGCCTTTTGTGTTTTAGACTTTTAAAGTCCCAAACGATAATTAACCACAACTAGCTACAGGTAATTCTCCCTTTTACAATCTTTAATCATCCTCAAACTTGATGGATTTCTGATGAATTATTAACTTTAATATCAACAGTTTTTGACTGTTGAAGCGCAACAGTGTGTTAAACTGAATTAAACAGCCTGAAAACAGCTAAAAGCCAGATGCTGAGGTTTTGAAGTGTAAAAACAGAAGGACGGCTCGGCTGAAGGGATAAATGTAGTCAGAGGGAAGTCAGCAGTGCTTCACTGCTGAGTCATGCTCTCTATTCCGGGACTGTGTCCCCCCATCAGATTGGACAGTCTGCTCCTACATAATTGGCAGAGCGGAGCTATATGTTTCAGGTTAGGCATTTCTCTGAGAATCTTTATTTCCACCTTTTTATATGAGGGCAAATATAAAATGTCTTATAAAGGCAGCAGCACCATGAGCCCTCATGCGCTTGATACACGTCATGTTTTATTATTTAATTCCACTGTCCTTTGTCTGCATGCTTTTGGTTAACCTAACAACCTGTAAATGCGTCAAGGACACATACGGTGAATTTTGAGTTTGAATTTTCCACATCCAGAAAAGCCCCCATCATCCGCTTGATGACTGAGTCATAGAGTCCAACATTTGCTCTCATTTTGTCCCCGTTTTATTTCACTTTCTGAGGAAATATATTGGTATTAAGCCAATAAATGCTCCCATGTGCTAGTCAGATCTTCTGTGTTCATCAGAGAACCGTCTGCTGCTGGAGATCACAACACACATCGATTAGCGTAGCTTCAGATGGATAGTTTGTATGTTATCCAGTGGCTCGTCATGCATCATTCTGAATGGTTGGTTGTATCACACACACACACATGCAAAAAGGGGACACGCCCACCTCATTACATTAAGCGCTGTAACTGTAAGGGTGACCTTTGACCCAGGGCTACAACAGCCTTCCCCCCCCACCAGCCCAACTGACCTTTGAAAGACCCACTACTCAAGTTATACACACACATGTGACCGCTGGTCCTAATGACTGCTCTTGCAGTCATTAGAGAGATGGAGGAACAAGGGGAGGGGGAGGGGCTACTTTGGATGTCCAAGCACAAATCGAGGCGCACACTCTCTGGTCTGGTCAAGAATTCAGCTCATTTGGCACTTAGAAATGATCCTAATATGATATCATCTTGGTGTAATATTGCATCTCGTCTGTCAGTGGTGTTTGCAGCGTCGGATGGCAACAGGTCAAACACAGCCTGCTGCGACATGTGAGAATCCCTGAAGACTCGCGGCGAGCCCGAGTATAGTTGCTTGTGGTCACTGGAAGGATTTAGGATTTAGGAGAGGATTGTTTCATTTTACTGACGGTTACGGTCCAAATGTCTGGAATAAAACATGTTCAAGGGAGTGGGAGTCTAGATTTTGAATCTCGCACCATCAAACTACTATGAACAAATAAAACATATTTTGTCGGGTACTTGAGTAACGTTGTTTCAGTTGCTAACATAAAGAGTTGTCAATCTTTAAATCTCTCTTTAAAAGAGGGATTCTAGAAGTTTATTGTGTTTCGCATACATTTGGGGGATGCATCAAAAAGTGGTTGTTTATATTGAACTTGTGATATCAGGACTTTTATTCTCAAGTCTTTAAAATCAGGAATCAGGAAACATTTATTGCCAAAATATGTCAGACTTACAAGGAATTTGTCTTGGCGATTGGTGCGTGACAGTAGACAGTGTAACAATAGACAACAAGACAGCAGTGCACAAGTAATAAAATAAAGTAAAATGAAATGCTAATGCAATGGGTTAGTAGAATAAGGCTATGGGTTAGTATAAAACAAGAGAATAAAGTTAGTTAAACATTTAAAATATTAAACAAGTTAAATATTAAGCATAAGGTGCACTGGTGAACAAGTAACAAAGTGACGACAGAGTGAAAAATTACAGTTAAAGTGACGTGCAGTATGAAGGGGAGTGACCGGTGGAATAAAAACACCGGATGCTACATTTACCTTGAGACAACTCAGTGAACACGGTGCAGATCTTGCTCGCCTTGTAAATGCTGTTAAATGTGATACAATGTGATACACAGAATATATCTTACACCGTTTTTACAGACTAATTCCAGAAAACTGAAAAAATGATCGTACAGTTGTGACTCATTTAACACCTTATTTACCTACAATTGTGCATTTTCATAGTTTTACAGATTAAATATAAAAACTATCCTACATGTTGTAGTAGACAGGTCTTGAATTCTGTCAATTAAGCAAATATATGAGTGAGTGAAGAACAATTGCCTGTGAGAAATCGACTGTCTGCTTCATGATGGGTATAAGCAATGAAAAATGTGAGGTTAAAAAAAAAAGGCTTTTAATGCCGGCAGGGCTCATACATGGCTGAGTTTTCTCATTTCTAGCCCTGCAGTCGCCTTTTACAGCTGAGTGACTGAACATGGCTCAGCCTCCCTGTTTGTTGAAGGCTTCCTTCTTTTCCATAGCGGCCGCCGCTCCCGTTGCCCCAAGGAGACGGGGCGACAGCGTGATAGGGGACGGCGTAGCAGCTGAGCATGGCAGGGGACAATGATTTTGTCTCCTGTTTCCATCCTCAAATGTAATGTTTTTGTCTTGCTTTTCTTTCAATAAAAGACTGGTTTCTAGGCCACCTATTGATAATATAGCATACGGATTATTCTTGAAATTTACCAGAGGAATTTCTGTGTGAAATTCAATTCTTCTTTTTTTTATTTTCCTCCAGGGATTTTAGTTAACGAAGATCAGAGAGAGTAAAATTAGCTGTGAGCTGTATTACAAGCTGACCTCATGTTAAAAGTAATCACCCATTACCACGACTAGTTAAGTCCTCTCGTAATCAGGTTACAAAGAAGCTGCTTTAGTTTTACTTCATGACCAGAGCTGAACTTGCAGCGGATCGCGCATGCTCTGCAACCACACGGCTCCTTACAGTCGATGCGATGAGAATATAATACAGTGCGCTCCAACAAAACTCATGAATATGACCTCTAATGAATGAATTATTGATGGGACGTGGCACTGAACATATCTTGTTTGGTGGAGCGCGCGCACACACACACACTCCATTTTTTGCATTTGACACCTGTTGTAATGGGCCTCGTTTCTTGAGGCCAGCAGGACCTATTTGAGAAGGCCACATGCGTAACCACCCTGATACACACCTGCTCGCCGTGGCCAGTGGACCACATCTTGACCCTGGAGTTGGCTCCATGCACAGCATACATTCGTACATTGAACATTCTCAGTGGAAATTCATATTTTTGCCATCATGTGGGTGCGTGCACGTGGGGTTGAACGTGCTGATGGTACAGTACGGCCTTCCTAAATCGGCACTCGGCCACTAGCAGCTGTCTCTCGGACGGCTAAAAGCAGCACACACACATTTCCAGTTTGATCTAACCGTGCTCATGTTACAATGTATTTGTTTTTGTTATGACAGGGTTCATTTATCAAAGGCCCCTCAGCAGTGTGGGAGGTGGAGAGGTTACCTCACACCGTGGGGGAGAAAGGGTCATTTTCTTTATGGATTATGTCATGTATCTTTTTTGTACTATTATTGGTTGTCACAAAGGAGGTTAAGGAAGAGTTCGCAGTACAGGATGTGTAGGCGTACTGCGAGATAGCGTTTAGAATATGGTACATGCAGCTGAGCAACAGGAGGTCTACAAAAGAATCGTGCTTTTAACTGGACTTCATTACAACTAGCAAAGAGGCTGTGAAATGTAAAGCTCAGCAGGGTGTATGGATCCACACGTGCACCATGCACACTCATGCACACTCACGCACACCCTCACACGACCTGAGCTCAATGTCAGGGATTCCATATAAGCACAGTAATACTTAAAATGCTCATTACACGATTACTACGGTGACGACATTGTTGTTCTACAAATACGATTCAATTGCGCAGGCCAATCAGAAGCTTGCTATCACGTGAGTGTTGTGTGGCTAATTGATTTTTTTGTTTGTTTTTGTTTTCTCAGAATAAAGGAATGGGTGGATCAGATGCAGAAAGAGTTGATCACGTTAACAGATACAGCCAGTGGTCTGGAAAACCTAATACAGGTAAGCATACAAACAAAATGCTTGTAAATCACATCACCAGACTATACACAGTAGCTTACTATACAACGCTGCATCGATGTATACGATCAGATCAGCTTTGTGACTATAGACACACACACACACACATATCTGACAAAGGAGAAGAAGCTTTTTAAATCAACATTGATTGACATAATGCATCTGGCACATTTGCTCTCCGCTCCCTCAGAGAATAAAATCATTCGGTTTTAAAGCATCACAGAAATCGTTACAAAATACGTTTTCATTCTATTTGTGGCATGACTTGTTAGCGAAAAGGGGAATTAAACATATCTGGCAATGTTATTTCAAACTGTTGATGTAACAGAAGCTGGTACTACTAAGGGGACGGCCTTATTTGAACAAAGTGTTGTTGTTGTTGTGCACAGCATGCAGGATTTGTATGAGGAAGTGTAATGAAGCTTGCATGTATGCATGCGTGTGTAGAAGTCGATTGTGTCGTTACAAGTGGAACGCTTGTACTATTGTAAGCATTGACTTATAGAGTTCTATGTAACCAGTTTTAGTGTTGTGTTTTCACTGATAAATTGTATTTCAAGACTCCTAAAATCTACACAAATTGGGTACTTTCAGTTCAAACACTCAGATTAAATATATAAATTACACAATGTTCCTCGTGTAATAACTTAATCCGCACCTAAAAGTCAGACACATTACACTTAGAAATTGCTCCTGAATTAAGGGCATCATTCAGACGCCTGGAGGACGAAGAGAAATACACGCACGCGCCTCACTTCTGTGGTTTGAATGTCGGACAATGAAACCGCTGTAGGCCGCTAAATAATTGGCTATTTGGCATTTGTGTGTTTCTTATGTCTTTAGCTGCAGCATTATCTGCTGCAGTAAAGTAAATGGCCTTGTTATATAACCTTACATTGTAATTTGATCAGTGGACATGTAGCCTCTTTGTTTTAAACCCTGTGCTTTGGTCAGTGCAATCCCAAGAAGAAGAAATAAAAGTCAATGATCACTGATGCACAGTTTTAATTTAAGGTACAGTCTGTGGATCTTAAGATCAATTTGCATGCAGGGAAAACACATAAATGTCCCTGGTGATGTTGTGCTACATGTGACTCTGCGGATCTTTTGTCTAAATGTGTGGAAATCATCATTTCAATCAACCATCACCCACCAACACGGCCTGTCTACCTTTTAAATGCAACAGTTCTCAGGCCGAACGCCTGCTTAATGATAACGACTCAATCAACGATCAACAACACGTGTGTCCTCTAATTGAAGCTCTGCTCTGACCTCTACTCTCTTCATCTGATTTTCTCAGATTTATCATAAACACAGACCTCACTTCAGTGTTGAAACCAACAATCCAGCACAACTGGTGGCAACAGCTGCCGGGAATATAGAGAAGCTGCTGGCTAACCGCTCCCATGCCTTAAGGGTGAGTTTGAAACATTTTCTGATGTCAGCTCGTGTTTCTTGTGGAAGGAGAGCAGTTCGGTTATGGCTTGTTCTTTCTCACCAATTTAAAAGTCTAAATGTTACGCAAACGCTGCGCTTTCTGCGAGGCCCGATCCGCTCCGTACGTCTCTCTTAGCGGGAAGCCCAAGTAAACACGGAAACAATCTGCTCCTCCTCAATTCAGTTCAGAACGGGGCCACAGCTTCAGGCCACGCGCTGATTCGATGCGAGCGGACATCCTGCAGCCAGATTACTTAATTCAAAGTTACCAGGCTTGGTTGCAACAGGCTAAAAAGAAAATAGAGGACTGGTCTGCCATCGTGCTGTTTAATCCACACCTACTGCTTTAATGATCTAAATACCAAAAGGGCTGCGCTAGGCAAACGCTTTTATTTTGTAGTTGCACCACCAGCAGGTTGGTGTTAGTTGAAAAAAAAATATATATATGTTGTCCAGAAGATGGATCCTTGGGACTGGTGATCCCCATCTACTGGAGCTGCATACAGGTCACCTATGACTGAATCGGATTATTGTGCAGACCTGCATGGCACCCAAAGGATTTACCCTTAGAATGACAAGTCCCCTTTCAACAGAATGATCCTCATTTTTGTCGTTTTCGAGTGAAATAGAACAATTCTTGGTTTCTGGTTTGGTGGTAAACGTTACTCGCCAAACATCACGCCTGGCTTCCATGTAGACACAAAGGACAACAAACTAAATGGTCCCGGTCCCGATCAATCTGCCTACAGAAATGACCAGCTTGACAGCCTGTTGCCGTAGTTACGCTCTTATTGATTGCCCCATCAATCCAGCCAACCGTTGTCTTTTTCCTTACGTCTCTAGAATTGCCAGGGGGAATTCACACCTCGTGAGAGAAACACAAATGCCGAGCAAATTGACGGCAGGACACCATCGGCTGCGCATTTCACCCGTGCAAGTTAACGCCAGCAGTGTAGCTCTACGCTAGAAATATGAAGCTAGGGGGGCGGCGTTTAAAAGCAAAAACAAGAAATGTTTTGTTTAAACCGACGCAGCGTTCGCCTCGCAGAGATGACCCATGGCGGCGTGATTACCGCTGTAACGGGCTTCTCTATACTCTGGAATTTGTGAATTCAAATGAAAGGAGGTGACGGGCGGCTGCAGAGTCTGTCGATGTCCTTGACCTGACCAACACTAATCTATATACCGCGCAGGTTTGAAACTGCGCTTCTAGAATCCCTGCCTTTGATTCCCGTATTCAGCATCTTTGTTCTCTTTGTTTCCTTTCATCCCTTCCTCTTCTCTGTCCATCCCTTTTTTCCCATTACACACAGCATGAACTGATCATGTAAGCAGGGGGACAGTGTTGATTGTGTTACGAGGTTATTGCTTTTTTTTTTCCGAGGGGAATTGAATGGCCAGATGTGTACGAGTGGAGGGAGGATGACGAGTGGAGTGGCAGGAAGTCCGTGAGTGCAATGAAGTCCCACCTCCCACGAGGCAGCCTACATAAAACTGGAAACCTGTTACAGACCCCGCATCCATTAAGACCTCGGCCATCCACCCCCACATGCTTTTGGAAGCTGAGGTTTAGTTATCTAGAGACTAAAAACTATTTAATGCGCTATTGGTAGACTCCCTTTGACTGAACCTGCTGTGCTATATTATAATAATATATTGATATATTGCCATCTGTAATATGAAATCTAGCTTAACACCGCAAGCCAAGTCAAGTTTCATACAGCTCAATATCACAAATCACAAGTTCTGTCTAAGGGGCTTCATCTTCATCTTGACTTTCCATATTGTAGCCAAGCAGCTTGTCACGGACCTGGTGTCAGATTATCATATATTTTGCTCCTAAAGCCAGACAATAGCATATAATAACACATTATAATGACTCTCCGTTCCAAAGCCTCCAGTCGAGGCTGCGTTGTGCTTGAAATAGACGGACGGACGCGTTTCTCCTTCGATGAGGGCAACTCGTCTCCTCCAGCCGTACGTGCATGTGTGGTTGGGTTATTGATGGGACACAATCCGGCCGCTGTCATTAACTTAATCATCGGGCCGCTTGGGTTTGCTGTCCATCAATTTGACATCTGACCCGTCCTGTCCCCTCAACGCCGCCGATGCGTTTAGACGTCGGTGCTTCCTCGACACGCAATCTCTCAAACGCTGCCAGCTGTGGGAGACGGACCTTTTCACTTCCCAAATCATGTTTACTACTGTCCTCCTTGTTTGTCTAAGTCTGTGTTCTGGGACAAGACAATTATGCATCATAAATCATACATACATACAAGACAACCGCTTAAAGCCAGGTGTAAGCAGCAGCTTAAGTTCTTGTATATTACCTAATTATTTCAATTAAATTAAATATAACAGATTTATCGAAGTGTTAACCTGTGTGCTTCACAATCAAATTATTTTAAATATCGATGATCCACAGTGGTTCCCGACCTTTTTGGTTCCACGTGGCCCCAGTAGAGCTATTCAGAAAGTTTCTCCGATTGGATCGGCCCACTAGAGTGTTTTTCCACATTAATTTACACATCGCAGCTTACTGCCAACTCTGTCTCCATCCTATCAGTCATTTGGTATTAACATGGCTTTGTACCTTTATATATGTATATCTATATGAGGATTGTATGCTCTGTTGCATTGGTAGTTCTTGTCTGCTCTGTTGTCAGAGGGAAATGCAATAAAAAGTGCAGTTCGGCCTCTTTAATTCACTTTCTGAAACACCCGTGCTTTGTTCCCAAAGCGATGGAGATGTGACTGGGGATATCGTTTTGTTTTCAGCGTTCAAAGAATTTTCCTCTTTCATATCGCACCACTGTATGCTGCATTCGCTGTGCGATTTCCTGGGAAAGATCTCAAGTGAATTTGGGGAAGAAAAAAGAACTGCTAAACCTCCGGAAAAACAACAACTTGTGATTCCCGTTTAGTCCTTATGAGACAGTGTCCACATCCCCAAAATATCCTACCCTTCTCCATTCCTGTCGAGCAGAGTATTTTAATACTCCTTTTCTGTGTCTCTGCCATTCGAACCCCCCCAACATGCTCCTTCCATCCTCATTTCTCATGACTCCCTCTGAACTTCCTTTCCCATTACGTCATGCCGGTTCTCTGTCACTCTGCGTTCCCTCTTTCCTATTTTTGCCTCGCTCTCTGTTCCTCATTTTTCCCTTTCTGTCCTCTGTCATCTATTCGCTTTCGGATGTATGCCTCAGTGTGTGCCGCAGCGTCAATATGGATGATGAATTCCTCTGAAAGTAAGGGAATGTTTCACTTTAAAATGTCATCCCCTGAGCTGAAATGCTTGGGTTCAAAATAAAAGTAAAATATCTTCTTTTAATTTTTTTATTTTTTTACCAAAACTAATTACAACAACCACACATTTTCTATTTGTTCAAAAGGGTGTCAGGTGGGACACTTTAGTGCTGGTTTTATTTTGGGTTAATCGCATATATTCCATCCAACCATCCTGGGGATGAATCGATTGCGGAAAACACCCATTAAATTTAGACGACATCATTCTGAATATCCGTCGACAACAATCCTCAATCAGCTGAGCATCGGTCGATGCCCGAGCCAACTCCCAGTGATCAGCGATGGACAGCAGCCGCGGTCCACTCATCAAAAGGTTCTTGCTCGGCCTGTTTCTTTGTGTAACCGCCTCACATCCGCCTCCACTGCGCTTCTTAACAGTACATCGCTCATGTCTCCGCCACTTTCTGAACCCTCTGACTTTGTTCTCATTTATTATTGAGCACCATTCCTCCGATGGGTCCTGTGGTTAACTTTCCCTCAGGGGAATAGATCATTTATCCTCCAGTGACACCGGCGATGGAGCCTTTCCATTAGGACGGTTTGAGGTATTTGCACTCGTTTCTAGACACAGGAAAATCATTGTTGTACAAAAGGTTTTGTCTCAACGATCCTGAGAAAATGGCATGTAAATTCAACCTTCATGTTTGGCTCAAAGCATATCTAAACCGAGATTGTTGAGCACCATCTCACAGCTTTCAACTGATTAGAATCATTTGTTTCTTGAATTGAATATTCATGAAATTAGACCATATTTTTCATTTTCAACCTTTTCATGTGGCAACATGTTTTATTGCCCAACAGTTTGTGCTCTAGTTTTGTTGTGTTGCCCAGAACCACTCATCACTCATTTGTGTGTGTTGATTGTAACATTAGCAAACGGTGGGAGAGGTTGTTCTGTGTTGGGGCCTTGGAGGGAGTCCCTCCGATCAGGAATCAGGAAACATTTATTGCCAAAATATGTCAAACATACAAGGAATTGGTCTTGGCGGTTGGTGCTTTGCACCCACCCTGAGGGACGCTTGTTTTCCAAAAGCACCCGCATGGGGGGACATGGCGGCCTGCCGGGACGTCCCCCAGAGAGACTGCCTGCACAGCACAGAGTGGACTGTCCCGCAGAGAAGACAGACAGCCGAGGACCGTGCTATTTGAATATCGACCGGTGGGGTCACTCCAGGCGTGGGAATGCATTAGCTCTCTGGCAGCAGACACACAAAGGCTTTGGCTTCCCATCGGCGTCCCGGGCCATGAATCAGTGGACATTTTAGAAACACATACAGCTGTTTTCTAAACTCGGCTTCCTGTGTTGGTTGAAATTGCCCTCATCGTTGTCAATGGAAACCACCTTCTCTTAGTTGTGAGTCTTTTTGGCGTTGGCGTAGAGTCAAACTCTCTAATGGCTGCGGAGAAGGAAAGATAATGAACACAATCCTTTGAGTCTCTGGTGTAGCCATTGCATGTTCTCCACAGTGCATGGACCACAGATGCGACAGGTTACCATGACGCCCTGGTCGCTAAGTAACATGGGCTTTATGAACAGATTACTGACTCTCGAAGCGAATCACTTCTCATCCTTCTCTCTCTCTCTCTCTTTGTCACCCTTTTTTACACTCAACAGCGGGCCATCCCGATTTGAAGAATCCTCACTCACGACAATCCACAAAAACTCCATCTCCGCTAGCATTCGTGTTGATTAGATTGTTTAGGAACAACACAAGCTTGAGTTTGAGCGTGTGAAAGGAGCTCTTTTACCATGCAATGTTACGTAGCGGCGCGTAATTACAGAGCAATCACTGATCTCAGTGTCTGGAAGTGGCTCATTACACCGGCAGTGGATGACGGGCTGTGAGTCATTAGACACTGCTGTTAAAGCCCTGATCACAAGAGCAGGCACGCGGCGACACACATACGCACGCACAAGCTCACGGGGGACCCCTCGCACGTTATTTTAATAAGTCGTACACTGAAGTGAAAATCCTTGCACCCCGACGAGTGCGCGTCCGCCGTCGCTCCCGGGAACGTACGTTATGACGACTTATGTGCTGTGTCGGATTTGCGCTCTGGGCAGAGCACGTTACGCAATCGCTCACTTTCAATAATGATATTGTTTCCCAGAATGTGCTGATGAAATTCCACCATCTGCCAGATTGTTGAATGAACAACATAAATTCTCTACTGGTGTCACACACCGAGGGCCTTTTATTGCCAGGTAATTATGGCGATGGCATGCCCGCCTACCGGGGGCCTCGGAGAGGAACCACCTTCATTATTGTGAGTCGTCTCAAGACTTTAGAGCTGTCTACTGCTCACAATCAGCTATGGGATCATGGAACACACACAGAAGGAAAGAATGTGCCATGATTGTATTTTACGTGACAACATGCTTCTTAAATCACTGTATATTGTGCGTGTAGTATTTCATACTGATGCTAACATCTATTTCTAATATACAAATCACAAATGATGTTCTACAGTATAAGATAATGCACATATACTATATAACCGACTGTTTTACTATGTCATTTATACACTTATAGGTATTGACATCTAATCATACATAGATCATATAGAATCATAACATTATTTCTGACGTTATATTGTGTATTGTATGTATAAATATTTTCTACAGATATATTAATGTCCTTTTTCTACATTTGTACTGATTTCATTCCCTTTAGCCAGGTTCTGTGCTGTTGTCTAACCTGTGGCTTACCCACTGCTGATTTATCGTATCTTGCATAATCACGCTGAGCACTTAAACGCTGAGTGGTTCTGTCACATTTGAAATATTCGGCGGTTTGCGATGCCTGTCAAACCGGCTGACTCCTCAATGTGGCCATCATAAATCCTCGCTCAGGTCGTCGCGCTGAGAGCCAGAGTTTACGTACATAAATCCTGGATACGCATTTACAGAGGAGGGGGTGACGCTTACATGAGATGGCTTGGACGAGCTAATTTGACCATTTGACAAAAAAAAGAAAAACTCCTTTGTTTGGTGTGATGCAATGTGGCGAAAACGTAGTTCTGTCCCTCCAAAAAAGTGTTTGATGTCTATAATGTTCCACCAGTGGGACAGAGATGCCGTGGGTGTGCCAGATATTAGCCACCAGTGACTCATTATTCACCACTTCCTGAGGTGTGCACATCGTGTGTCAACGGCTCCAGTTTTGTCGTCTTTTTTTTCTTTCCTGTTACATGAAACCCATCAGATGTACAGTATTTGCATAGAGAGAGCGAGTATGCATTTGATGTGTCTAGCTCATTATCGCTCTCCTTTTGGCATATTCAGTACCGACACCAGCAGTTGCATAACGCGCGTGTTGTCGCGGCTTGGGCGGGAAAAAATATCCTTTTTATGTCTTAATGTAGCAACGATAGTTTGGATCGCTGAGCACTGTAATGTAAGTGTGAGTTAAAGGAAGCTGCAGAAAACATCCTTCTGATTATAAAAGCCGGGTGCACCTCAAAAATAGTGACACTGTAAATCTGTGCGTTCGGTATTGTTGTGTGTGTGTGTGTGTGTGTGTGCGTTTTGCAGAACTGCCGTGTCAACACAGCAGCTGGATGCAGCTGTAATTGGGAGTTGCTTGCCGCCAGCTGGCACACAGAGAGCGTGCTCAGCTGGGACTGTTTGCTGGAGGAGAGATGGAGCCGTCAAACCAGCTCACAGCAGTGCTTAGCGACGCTTGTACCAGTCTCTGACCAGTCACTAACCAGTCTCTGACCAGTCACTGACCAGTCACTGACCAGTCACTTTTGCCGAGCGCTGTTTCCCGTCTGAAGGACCACGGTTGTGGTGCTACACGTTCGGTCAACTCGCATGCACTCACTGTACTGTGCAGTTGTTAATGTTTCTTCTTCGTGTGTGATTGTGTGTGTTAATGCATCTCTTCCCCCCCCCCCCCCCTTTTTCTGCTCTCCCACCCCTCTCCCCCTGCCTCCCTCCGGGCAGGGAAAGAGGGATCTGACTAAAGTGCTGCCAGTCACTTTAACAGCAGATGCTCATGTTTCCTCAGCACTGCTGAGCCTTTCCTGCACATCAGTGAGATGGCAGGTGTGTGTGTGTGTGTGTGTGTGTGTGTGTGTGTGTGTGTGTGTGTGTGTGTGTGTGTTTGTGTTGTTTTGTCTTGGCATGACTTGATGCTCTAATCAGACTTCCAGGAATGTGCGTGTTTACACGGTACATCTCTGTGTGTTGCTTAATAAAAGATGGAAACTTGGAGAGGTTGCAAAGTTCTGTGCTTCTGTACCCGATGTTCTCAGAGTGACAAAGTAAAGGGTCCGTTTGTACAGCTCACAGTGATTTATATATTCTCCTCGTGTCAGTGGGTGAGAAGTGCACCTATTGTTTTATTGCTTTACACCCTCCCTCGCTCCATCCCTTCAAACACTCCTGAATGAGACAATTCGGTCCCCCATTATAACTCGAGGGAGAGCTGCTCCATTATCCTCAAACACGCGTATGGAGAATAAAACACGTTGCAACTTGACATCATTATTGTTATTATTAAGAACAGCTGCTGGCGCTGAGAGCAGAGTGTAATCGTCTCCACTTTGTGTTTATGGGTGTAAATGTGAAACATCATCGTGCATAAAGAACAACAGACAAACTGCAGATAGGCTTGTTCCATGCATGAGCATACGGCGGATTTCTGCGGCTTGTACTCCGAAGCGGGCAGCTTTCTTTCAATCCATCTCTTTCCTGATACTTCGTACTTTTACTGCATGGACAGTGAACCTCACCCAGTTACAGGTGGCACCACACGTCAGGTGCATTCGCCAGTTTACGAAACAGAAGGTTCTCCCCCCACCAGCAACTGTGTCCATGTTCTCCACGCACAAATTAAAACCACAGGCGGACTCTTTATTCTCCGGCATCGAGTTACACAGCGTGAGCCAGGCGTACGTCATCTTAATTATGTGTTCTGTAACTCCGCAGGATGCTCTCACTGGTCTTTCTTTAGCAGCTCGCTGATAACGCAGTTTAAGCCAGCTCATTAGCACGTCCACATTTTTGTCCTACTTAATAATAGTCATTGCTTAAACTTGCAGGAGATTAAACTAAACTATACGTAAAGGTAGGTACTCACAAATTTACAATTCATAAAGTAAGACTGTTCAGGGTTGTTCCTTCAGTCATCAGAGTGTTTGACGTATGTGGTGATGGAGGTCTGCTACAGCCATTAGTGAACCGAAGTTGCCTGGTGATTACCGCTTGGCCCTACAGGCAAACCGATGGGGGTCATGAGTTTATCCAATCGGAGCGAGTGCGTCTGTAGTGGTTATGTTGTGGTGTTTTTATAGTGGGAGGGGGTTGTAAGGGTGTGTTACAGAGGATGGGTATCGATGCTGCCCTGCAGGAAGCAGGGGGAAGAACTACAGCAGCTGCTGACTGTGGAGATCCTCATTAACGTTTTCTCTAGATCCATACGGGACATAACGCCTTTAATCCGTCGTGAGTGGGAAGGAGTTGCAGAATAGCCTGTGAAGCCAGCGAAGAAGTAACAGAAAACAAGTTTACTTTTGCTTTTGGCAAGCCCCGTCTGGAGAAATGTCAAACAAGTGACTCAAAGGATCTGGCTCCATTGATTTGAGAAATAAAAATAAAAAAGAAGGAGCAGTGCAGGAAAAAGAGGCTACATTTTTTTGGCAATGTCTCTCTGGATTTTTTTTGGAAGCGAAATGTGTGATGTCCATCAAGAAGATTGATGGTGTTTTCATTTTCTTTCCTTTCTCCCATCGGGCTGTTGTCTTAGTGTGAGGTGAGCAATGATATCCACTCGTTTAAGGTCTCACCAGGCGGCCAAACGCTGCCACTAATAACCCAGTATGAGATTCATAATCAGACTTGATTCTCGCCACTGTCACAGAATGAATTCAATAATTCATTTTTTTTAACCCCCTCCTCATCCTCTCCTCATTTCCTAAAGTCATTTACAGTCTCCGCTCCTTCTGCGACTTGTGCCGTTCATCGAAGCAGGAAAAGCCGTATTTTTTTATTTCCCTGGGGAAATTAATAGTAAAGCGCATTTCTGGACAAGGTACAGATTAAAAACTGGTCCCATTATAAACCCATTAACCCAGTCATTAGAACCAGATCTGGGAAAAGATGGAATGTGCGGGTGTCTAATTTTAGCGCAACACTGTGTCACAGCGAGTCCTAATTCATACCTACGGGTGCAGAGACGAGTATTTGGTGAATAAAAGATGTCAAACACCGAGCTGTGCCTTCAGTGTCGTGTTTATTAAGCTGTCCATACTGAAGAACACTAAGACTTTTTGTTAGTTTTTCAACGCGGCAGTGATGGACAGATGGCGTGTGCCAGGTTTGGTTAACACATCCTGGCATGGTGTGGGTGTTTTCTCCTTCTCCATCCTTTTGTAAATCTTTAAAATCAGCTGATGCGAACACTTGTCACCCTGGGGATAAAGTGCTGAGATGGGACCGAAGCCATCATCGGGATCGGAGCCAAAAACTTTGCTTTTACAAAGAATAATTAAGCTGGGCTAACGTACTGCATTCCTCTCGCCTCCTACTCTCTCCTCCTCCTCCTCTTTCTCCCCCTCCACCCCCTCTCTCTCTTCTCTCAGAGGATGGCAATGGAAGCAGAAAAGTTTCAGATGGACCACGTGTGGCGGGGCGACAGCGAGGTGAGTGAGGCTGCGTCCGTTAGCGCCGGGTGCGTTACAGCAAATCACATCGGATGAGAGGAGCCGGGGGAGGGATGAGTTATCCAATATTCATTATCCAACATGGTTGTAATAATTGGATGGGGGAAATCTCATTACAATGACAGAAGTGCTGCTACGAACTTCATACAAGATTGAACTTGTTCAATTATTATTCATATAATAGGAAGAAACAGCTTAGTGTACATGTGTACACTAAAACATTTAAATGCAAATAATACAACAACGGTATTCATTTACTAATTGAATTACTTTGCCCGGTTGCCGGTGCAGGGAATTTGCACAATGGCATGGTAGAGCTGCGGTGCAGCTCTCCCTGCTGCAGTGTTTTAGCTTCGTCCGTTTCATGCAAATGTACTGTGACGGAAGAACAGATTCACTTTGCCGTTTAGTCTATTAACTTATAAAAGTGTTGTTTGCCAATCCTAAATAACCTCTCTGGGGTTGGATTCAATTATCTGCTGTATTACAATGAATGAGTTTGATAGTCCTTTGTCTGGTCGTAGTAATAATATTGACTTTTATTTATAGGGAGATTTCTGCCACACCTCAACCAACTGAATGTCTCAGTATTTGTGTAATTTGTATAGATTTTCCCAAAATAGGTTGTTTAGCCTGGAGCTCTGCACAAATGTAGTGAATTAATAGCGACGTGTCCTCCGTGAACCTGAACAGAAGCGTCTTGTCGGCGTCAGAAATGTATTTTATTTTGAAACGTTTTTTTGCCATTTCTGTCGGTCTGTGACGGAAACGTTCATTTCTCAGATTTTTAATCAGAATCATTAACATAAAGCTAATAAATTACTTGAAATAAATCAACCAAAGTTTAATGCACAAAGTAGGCCTGCACAATGTATGGATTTGTATCATCGCCGAGTCTTGAAATACCAAGTGGGGCGTGTGTGTGTGTCAGTGTGTTGCGCATGCGTCTTTGATTTCACCTTTGATAAGTAGGCCGATACCTGTGGGCGTCTCTCCCTGCTGACGTTAAACAATTAAAAGCTGTGACGTCAAAATTGGTTGCAGATGTCGTTAAAACACAAGCTTCTCTAAACAGGTCAATTTGATTGATAATTTAATATAAATGTCTCTTACTGGTTCTCGTGTCTGCATTTTGATCTCTTTTTATGTGACACTGCGGTTGTCTTTTACAACAAACAATATGTGCAGCTGCTGTGAATTCAAGGTAAAGGCTCCACACGCGTCTTCAGACAAAACGCAGATCCCAAGCGGTGCACGTGCACGTGCACACCCACCACAACCAATAAAACCACCAATCATCCATTTACGTCTCAACTCTTTCTGCCTTTCACCATCTCCCACCCAACAGGTGTCGCGGCAGCCTCGGCGGTGCGACTCTAACCGCTCGAGGTGCGCGTTGTCAGTGCCGGTTTCACTCCTGATGTAACTGGAGGGGTTAAGAAAGCCAAACGGAGAGCAGATGCTGCAGCCTTTGGCTCGGTTTACTCTAATGGTGCGCTAATTGCATGCTGTTTAAAACAAAGGGAGTCGCAATGGCCGGAGAAGTCACGTGTTTTGCGAGCAGCGGTGAGCGGATGGTGGAAGTCAATAGTAAAAAAAATAATAATAATACCATCTAGACCTGTCTGTGTGGGAAGTGCCCCGGAAACTGTCACTGTATAAATAGAAATAAAAATGTAAATTGAACCGTCCGCGTGGCTCCGGGGCCTTCTTGTGTCAGCGGGAGCCATCGGCCAGCACGTTGACGCTCTTGCTAGCATGTGTGCTGACGGGAAGGACAGACGGACGGACGGACGGACTGAGAGCAAAACAACACCACTTACTTCACTGATCCTCAGCGTCAAACACACTCTGCTGCCTCGCTGTGAGAGAGCGGCGTTTAAATTGTAGTCACGGTTGCAACTAAGACAAAAAAAAAAGACACATCTACTTCCCTCGGGGCCACTGTTGAGATTAAGTTACATTATTTGAGTAGAATCTTAAGCGGTCATTTATTCTGGCCAATAGTTTCATTCCATCTGATCTTTTTGGCATCCTAGACAAAGTGTTTACAGAGGTAAAACATTCAATCGTAGGGAAGATGCTGATTTGGGGCCTAGAAGTCATTTATCAATCTGCATGCTGTGATTCACTGCTGATCTCATCCTGTTTGTCTTTCCATCTCTTCACAGGTCGACAAAATCGTTTACTACAATGCCAAAGATGACGTAAGTTGAACCTGATCCCACAATTTCTAAATTCCGCCAGTGCAATTAGAAATGCAAATTGTCGAATATAACGCGAGCAACCCAAATATCCAGCTGCCCAGGAAACGAAACTGAGAGCAGATGACGTTGATAGGAATCAGTGAGAAGAACATTTTGTTTTCAATCTACAAGGTCCAGTACTGGTTTTGGGCCCCACCCTCAGAACCACATGAGCATGCATGAGACCTCCGCCGGCCTCAGACGTCATCTGTCTGCTCTCATAAACAGGGATCAGCATCTAGTTCCCCCCCCCACTACCCCAGTGGGAAAGAACCACGTTCCCGCAGCACACTAGTGTCACTGTGTGTTTGACTGACAGCCCCTCTCCCCTCTCTCTATTCGTCTCCCGATGCCGGGGTTTATGTTTCGGTGCCTGGAACCTTACGTTTCTCAATATTTTTCTGTCACACGGTGACATTTCAGTGGATACCAACATTGACACCTTGTCATTCGCGGTAACAAGAAAGTGCATGTATAGAATGTTTGCAAAACGAGGGTGACGGACCCCTCCGGAGCCATTGAACCCGCTGCGGGATGCCACTGAAACTATTTTTCTTCTTCTTTGGTGCAGCTCAATCAGACAGAGGACGGAAAGGGAAGGAAGAACAAATATCTTCCGGACGACTTTGAGATAGACCCCGACTTCAAGCGACCCGTCTCGTACAACACCACCGCCGTCCACATCCCCACGGACATATACGAAGGCTGTGAGTGGAAACGCAAACTTGCATTGGCAAGCCCCGCCCTTTTCCCCTCTTTGCCCCTATCGCCACTGTGTCCGGTATCTCCAGTACGTTTTCCGTGATGCGTGGCTCCGCCTCCCGGCGCTGTCTGCGGGGTGTGAGCCGTTCCGGTCTATATATAGCCTGGATGCCGACCACCCAATGGCCCAGCGCTTTTACCCCCCCCCCACACACCACCCGTCTGCACCCTGGTCACCAGCTGCTCCCTTCCCTCCTGTTCATGTCCAACCCCGCTGACCTTAACAGTTGAACAAGAATGTTTTAGACGACGCATCTATTTGTGGATTATTTGGCACGTTTATCGCCACGCTGCCGTTATGCCGTTATCATCACTTTCTTAACTTACAAATGCGTCTTTTTTTTATTGATTCATCATTTGCATATTGTTGAGCATAGTTTAACCTTTTTTCATTTTAGCCATATTTGGAGGAAGGGGCCTTGCTGGTTAGTTGGGCAGTCCACTGCTTTGGTCCGGATTTAAGGGTTGCTTTGTTTTTTTTAAGTGAAATATATTAACAACTGTTTGACATAACATAGGTTGAACTATAATAGCTTTAGTTATTCCCTGACCTTTTCCTCTACTGCTACCAATGTGTCCAAATATACACTTAAAGTGGGAAAATGTAAAAACACTTAACAAAAACTCGATGAAATCAGTTGTAAGTTTATAAAACCTACTGTATTGAGGGAGATCATTAAAGGCTCCTTTAAATATCATTATCTCATCTTTATCCAATAGTTATAACTCAATGAAATAGTCCATCTCTCCCTTCTGGAGCCCCTCACACACTCGTCAGGGTAGCGCGCTCTAACTAGAATTGACCCACAGTAATTCAATCTGTTACCGTAAAGAATGTTTACCGAATGGGGCCGGCCTTAAACTCTTCTGATCTGAATAATTGGAGTTTTAACCGTTATGGTCTTATAGTGTTAAATGTGAAGTGTGAAGTATTACCGTTAACGTAATATTAGCATCAGGTAATGACTTTTGCATTAGGAGTTGGTCTTCAAACAGTAATTGCCAGTAATTTTAAAACCGCAATACATTAAACAGAGAGGCTTCCTTGGAAGAGAGACTTTCTCTAATGTATGGGTGGATGCATGCATGGCATGCGCACACACACAACTGTCTTCTGAGTTAACCTAAAGAATGACTAATTAAAATGCAAGGACGGATACGGACAAGCGCATGTAGATCTCCATTCAGTCAGAAACGTACAGTCCAGCACTTTATAGCTACTCTTGTATCATTTCATAGTTACACAAAACGTTCAACAACGCACAAATGCTGCAGCCAGCAAACGGTTAAACCTCTCCCTTAAACTCAGGCATGAGCTAATGGCCTCCATGGCATTGATTGAGCATTCAATATCAATTTCAGTAATGATGGCCACGCTGGATTTGCTAAATGAAGGCGACTCGGTCGCACAGCGAGTCACTCTACATAAGTTGTTCTATTAATGGGCAGAGTGAAAGGCCTCTGAGGCCTCTGACCGGTCACGCGTGTGCTGGTGTCATACAGTCCGTCTTCTAATCGCTTTACATCCTTCATTGTGGCCTCTTCCCTTCTCTCCTTCAGTCCTTACTGACTTCCTTCCTTTTATTCGTCTCGTGAAGATTTCTCTTGATTTACTCCTGGTTTGTAGTCAGACATTTTTGGTTGGAGATTATATAGCATTTTAACAATAACCAGCCATTTGTATGTGTAGAAATTGTATCTGTCTACATAGTTGCATCCGGCTTATCGGGGTGTGTCTGTTTGATCTCCTTCCGTTCTCAGGTTGGAGGTGGAGGGTCCAGTCCGGGTGTAGCTGGTTACCTAGCAGTAGTGTCCCGGCTGCCCCATGTCTCAAGTCGAAGTGTCCCTGAGCAAGATACCTAACCCCTAAATGCTCCCTGTGTAAAAGTCATGGGTTTAAAGTGTAATGTAAGTCGCTTTGGATAAAAGCGGCAGCTAAATGACCTGTAATGTAAAAGTGGTGCCAGATTGATGCCACTCTGAACTGTCGGCGTTGTCACAGCTGTGTGTGTGTGTGTGTGTGTGTGTGCGCGTGCGCGTGCGTGCCAAACATAATTGGACACGCCCTCGTTTTCTGTCTTGGAGCGGCTGGTAACTTGATTAGGGACTTTGTCTAGACAGGACTGGCGTCCTTGCGGCTTTTACTGGCGCTGAAGGACAGATGTGTCATCCTCAAACTCTTCTTTGATTGCGGTCGACTTTCTCTGCAACCTTCAGCCGTTTTATTTTTTTTAATTCTTCCCTTTCATCTTCTTTACAATCGCTTGGCTCGTTTTTTCATGCGTCCTCGTCGTCCTTCTCGCCTTGCCGTCCTTCTCCTCGGCAGTCCGCTTTGTTAAGCATATTAATAGGAGGTGCAACTGTTTTTCTCCCCCGCATCGGTCCTGCTGATTGGGATCCATTCTCCCCGCTGATCAGCTGTGGGTGGTCGGACTGGGATTTATTATTGTGTTGATGTGTGTGTGTGTGTGTGTGCGCACGCTGGTGACGAGTTTTTCTGTGAGTGAATGTGTTGAGAGAGAGATGGGGGAGGAGGAGGTGAAGAAAACACTGTGATAGTTGATGTGTGTGTCACACATCGCCTGCACCTATAGCTCGCACGGCGCCGATGGCCTCCTTGCTCATTAGGCGGACTGGCGTGCAGTGTGCGTGGAGAGCGGAGCGCTGAGGCCTCGGCAGGATATCCGAGGGCCCATCTGACGCCCGTTTGAGTCAACGCCGCGTGGCACCTGTCGGCCCGAGACGCACGCACACACTGTGACGCGCCGAGCTCCTGCCACGCTGAGCGTGTTCGCATCGCAGTAATGAAAGAGATTTTCTGTCACGTCACATGTTGTATTGTTTAATCCATTCCGGGTAATAGGAACCAGGAATATTTGCAACCTCGTGCTCCAAGTGAGGTTAAAATACAGATTTGGTCACGTGTGTGCGCCTGTGCTGGTGTCGCATCTGCACCTTTTACTCCGTGTGGTGTTACTGAACGATTGCTTGCGTGAGGCCCTCTGCATTCGCTTCGATTGTTAAGTTATGGACGCCTTTCTGGCTGCCGATGCAACGGAAACCTCTGTTGTGGTTGTAACGAATACAGTACGTCCGTCTTTTTACTGCTTCGTTCGTTCAGCTCGGGCGGGAATGCCTGAGGAAAAAAAAAAAGAGGATACGCCGGAGCTCAAGTATCGTCGAGCACGGTACCCTCGTGATGCTACGACTACAGGTTCTCATCACTTCAGCTCCCACCAAGCAATTACTTTCCAATGTGAAGGCACTTTCAGCCACCGGCTGGCTGGTGAGAGGCGACACTTACGGCACTTTGCCTCCCTGCAGGTCTCACTCCTCACCTCCCCTCACCACCGTCCCACACTCATCCCTCATCGACCGCCAGTTGGATTTCTTTCTGAAAGCGTCTCCATGCGTCACGGTGGAACATTTAGCATCTTTTTTCCCATATTACACACAACCGTTGTGTTTCTGCCACGAGAATCATTCAATTTTACGTCTATTTGAATAGTTTTGCTATTGTCACTGGCAGGCTCTGTATGTTCTCTGATAGAGACTCGGCCTTCAATGAGGAGCATGCATCTGTCCACTGAGAGCCTGTTTATTGAACAAAATAACAACCTTTGTTATTCACTGTGGTTATTTTAGTTCTTCTGTTACCCAGGTTCTCCAAAAAGCACCGGATGAAAAGTGTCTTTTGTCCCTCTCTTCTTAATTCTCTCTTCACTTCTTACGGTGTCATTTCTCTAAAAAAAACCACTCTTGATGGAGAAAATGATTTTATTTTATGCCAACCCTGAAGAAAACTAGTTCTAGTTTTTGGCAATATAAATGTTTGATACAGACAAACAAACACGTGCGCCCCATCCCCCAATTGTCCCCTGGGCGAGGACGCCACGCCCGACCAACAGATCCGACCGCACCCCTCATTTCCTTCCATCGCGGTGACCTCGAGCAAACCCATTGCCCCAGAGATGGATCCGTTTGCTCGCAAACTGTGACCTGTTCCGGTGTTTGGCTGAGATTAGAGGACACTGCTGTGATATTGCTGCTGAGGGCTCATCAGCGGTGCCCGACCCGCCCACCCTGAGCGGTTGGAGGCGTCCGTGTTTGTGATCTGTGTCTGAATGCAAATTCCTGTCAGGGCTATAATGGATATGTTGGCTCTGCACGAGGGGAAACACACAAGCACACGCTGCGCATCTCAATCATCCACGTTGTCTCACAACGCTCCGCTCTACGAGTAGTGACGAAGGCGAAGGAGGAGTCGAGGAACCCGTAGAGAGAAGTGGGTGACGGAAAAATAATGACATTTTGCTCGTTGCTTATTTAACCGAGTGCTCCTGGGCGGCTTTTAGCCAAAGCAAACACTGTGCGCTGCGCCGCTTCCTTGCCAAAGCGTAAACGTGATGCTCTAACTGAGTTACGAGTGCAGGTGGTTCACACCAAGTCGCCGTTACTCACGTTTAACGGCGCGGCTTCTGGTTGTTTGTCCCGTGTGAACCTCCTACCTCCCAGCTGTCCCCTGTCTCACGCCGATGTCTCTCTTTTTTTTTATCTGTATCTTTCTTTAATGTAGTAGCTTTCACAGAAACACACACGAAGAGATGTGACATCTAAACACACACACACACACTAGCGTGAGTCATGCACAGCATCAATTTGACATGCAGCCCACTCTCTCAGGTAGAGATGAAGCTAGATTGCAGCATTAAGCCCGTTAGAGCTCCTGCAGACAAACAGGTAAATAAATCGTGACTAAATGTCTGTCCCGTGAGTATCCGGAAGATCATTTCTTTCATTTGTTTTATTCCAGAAATATCAAACTGAATTATTTTGTGTCAGCCTACTGTCCTTTTCCCTCATTTTCCACTGCTGTAGATTTGTGTGTGTGTGTGTGTGTGTGTGTGTTTTGAGAGAGAAAAGTCAAGGAGATTGATGTCAGTTTGGATCTCTGTGAGGAGGCTTCCACTCCGCCCTCCACGTCAGCAGTGTGTGTGGGCGTTTGTGTAGGTGTGGATGTGATTTGGCTTCTGAGATGTTTTTCAAAAGACGTTTTTTAGAAAAGCCATGACATTTTGTGCTTGAGGGATTTCCAAGATTTTGTACTTTGAATATGTTTCCATTCATTTTGTGTGTGTGTGTGTGTGTGTGTCTGTTTGTGTGTTCAGTCTATTTCATGTGACCGGAAACAGAAGTCCCCACTCGGTTAGAGTAACGCGACGGTCCCCTTTTCGTAATGCAGGGATGCATTTGTGTGTGTTGCAGCCACCATCATTTTGAATGAGCTGAATTGGACGGAGGCCCTGGAAGATGTTTTTCGGAAAAACAAAGAGGAAGATCCCTCAATACTCTGGCAGGTATTTGGCTCGGCCACCGGACTGGCTCGCTACTTCCCAGGTGAGTTACTCCAATCGCCGATAAGGTTGCTTGGGTCAGGGAGAAAAATCCCCCCCAAAAGGTAATTTCATCAAAGCTCTCGTGAAGATGTATTTTAAATTAATTTTGCTTTACTTTATTTATATAAGTCTGCAGATTGTTTTTCTGCTCTTATTTGGACTTATAGCTTAGCTTAGCACAAGGACTGAATGCCCAACCATTGTTTTATTATACTAGGTTCATATTTAAGGTGATATAAGCATAACATGCTTTTAGCCCCTAACTCATATAATCAAATACCTTAAACCAAATCTTTGGCCATTTTTCCTTCCTCCCGCCGACCCGCAGCTTCCCCTTGGATCTCCTCAAGGAATTCAGCCGATAAGATCGACCTCTATGATGTTCGCAGGCGACCGTGGTGAGTGCGGACATTCATTATGGAAAGTGCAGTTCTGTTTCTCTGTCTCTAATGATCTCATCGTTATTTCTCTCGTGTGAGTCAAGGGCAGACCGACACGTGGCTCATTCGCTCGACCTGCGTAATTGTCATATTCACCTTTTATCGGCGAAACCCCTTCTTTCATGTCGCGTAAACTGTCGACACATAAGTGCATTAGTCCTTATTCAAATATTCATTTTTTTTCATACAAGTAGCCTAAAGAGGCCTCTGGCATAACACACAGATGTTAGTTTTTTTTTAAATGTATCAAAGGTCAGATTGATTTAAAATTCAAATGATTTAGAGTGGTATTTAATGAATTGCTCAAACAGAAATAAGAGTGATGAACCTGCAAAATGTACTTGTGCATATTCACATGTCTTTAAGTGCTGAGTACCCGCGACCTTCATGTTGTTTGACTGTTATTACTCACCAGGTACATTCAGGGCGCAGCGTCACCCAAGGACATGCTGATCCTGGTGGACGCGTGAGTGACGACCTTGTGATTCATTACACTCTTTTCTCTCATTTCGTTTTTGCACGCCGGAAGGCCCTGATGCGAACTCTGTGGCGCCGCCGCGCTCACGAATGCCTCCGCATGCGACGCTGACAAAACAAAAAGGCAGTCGGCGTGTCGACGTTTCTCCCCGTGGCGAGAAATGTGTGCCCTCAGAGATGTTAGGAGAGGACTCTGCAGTGTTATGTGTTACAGCAGTAAAGTCTCCTGCTCAAATTATAAGAAACACTTAAATTAATAAAAAAAAATTCTCATATTGCATTTTTAGAGTTAAAGAGGTTTATTTGCAATGTTTACCAAGCCGAAACAAATTTAGAACATATAGAACTTCAAATCTAACCATGATTAACCAAAAAATAGTTCCACACTGATAGTTTACACTAGTAAAAGTGTATAGTTGACACTTTAAAGGCACCACCCCAATTTTGCTGTAGAAAAAAGGCTGTTATGACAAGAACTATATTATATATTATAATATTTTTATAATTGCTAATGCAATTTTCTGAAAAATATATTATTATATTATAAATAGCATACCTGGCAGAGCTCCTTGGCTAAATGACGACGCAATATGATGAATGAAAAACTGAATTTGTCCGCTCGCAGCGCTTCACGCGGTAAAGGCTCCAGCACAGGTCGTCTCCTTTTTGACACAATATTGACAGACAAACATGTTTTGGTGGCATAATAAAACAAACGAGCAGAGATATATGTATATACATATTATTTTATTCATTCTAATATAAATAAATACCATATATATACATGTAATGTTGTTGTTCCAAACTGCAGGAGTGGCAGCGTTTCGGGCCTCACCCTCAAACTCATCCGAACATCGGTCAGCAAGATGCTGGAGACCCTCTCTGACGACGACTACGTCAACGTGGTCTACGTGAGCTTCCTCTTTGACTTCATCAGCAGTGGAAATAAACACGGCCTTCACTAATATTCACCTGAACAAAATCCTGTCCGTGGAGTTGTTGTGGTTCTGTGAATGTAATTGAATTTACAGGTGCAAACGTTGCTGAATGTTAACGTGGAAACGTGTGTGGCTGGGCTTGTGTGCTTTGAGTCATTGGTTTGAACGTGGCGGTGACCTTTCTAGTGACTTAATGCGCCGCACGTTGATGGATCTTTGTTATGGCTGCATGGATGCATGCTTGCAGTGTGCGTGTGTGTGTCTGCATACATCTAAATCTACTCTGCATGTGTTTGAGTGTGTCCGTGTGGGGGTGAGTGACACGCCTAGTGTGCGTCCGTCGCAGAGCGAACGCGCGGCGCTGCGCTGAGAAAACCCTGAAACGCCACGAGATGAGTTTGACCAATGAGCCTGTGCTTTACATGTTACATACGTACGGGAGACGGCTCGGGCCTATTGGACACTCTGTAGACAGAAAAGAACACATGTTTTTAAGTGGTTTCAGTGGTTTATTCCCATTTACTGGATGATGTGCTGTGGGCGGTCGGACTGGAAATGATTTGCAGCACTAAAATGCTCTAACTAGATTTTGAGCCCATTAGAAGCGCTGCTACAATCTATGCCTTTTATATTATGTGCATGCAAAGATGGAACTGGTATCCCTTAATGAAGGGGCCTGTGCAAGATAGATAATTTTGTTAGCTATTCAAATACGTCCCACTTTAATAGTTATCCTTTGGTGATTTTTTTTTTTTCATTGAATAATTACAAAAAAGTTCCCTTTTCTTCAACATTTTCTTCTTTATCCATCCGGATGAAAATAAATGAATTAAATTGCCAATATCAATGCGTTTTAATGAACAAGTGGCGCATGAATCCCCAGTATTTCTTTTTCTTAGTTTACCTCCAACATACATGTGGTCTCGCTCCAGTCACTTCCCTCCATCACGCGCTTCCCTCTGTACGTCCCATCCTTTTCCTTCTAACGGAGGAGGAAAATAATGATTTTTATAGTTTTGCGGTTCAAATAAACCATTAATTATATTGTCTTTCACTTCACTGGTTTATGGTTTTGTTTGGAAATTTCAAATCAGCTGAGTGAGACTGAAACGCAATGTCAGAAGAACACTGAGGCATCCAGCTTAGACCTTCAAAGGCATTTTGAAGCTTTTTTTGAAGGTAGCATACAATCTGTTACAACCTCAAGTGCTGTAAATGTAACCCTAACCCCATACCACAGCAAAACGCTGTTCTGTGTCCTCACAGTGAGTATATATGTGTGTATATGCAGTATAAATCACATCTCTGTTTAATAACCTTCATGTTTCCCTGAGCAATAGTAACATTGAGTTGTTTTAGTTCTATTTCTATACACACAAACAATACATAAAGAACAGTATGCTGTTCTACTGAGCTTTCATTACAGACATTAGACATTATAAGATGTATTCTATAGATAAGAAGTTCTAATGCAAGCTGCTGTGTAAATGCGTGTAGGCGAGAATCTTATTCCGAGGTCGCTCGTGTTGTCTGTGCGCTTCTGCAAACATGAAGAGCAACATCGAATGGATGGAAACTGCCATTGTGAGCTGCAGCATCCTTTGGCTTTCTGGAAACGTGCACATAAAAGAAAAACCTTGCCGACCTTTGCTTGTGAATCCCGGCTTTCATGGTCCTTTGAAACGTTTATTAATGCTACTTTGTAATTCTGGCTACTTTGCTTTATTATACTAACTGTTGCTTTGTCATTATACTCAATTAGCAAGTCTAAGTCTCTTTGAATCGTAAGACCCGCATTTGACCATTTTTGTAAGCATATCTGTGTAGTTATATGTAATCTTTTGAATTAATAGAACCCCACCTAGACTTTGAGATGAAGGTGCCATCCGTGTTATGTACCCATTATCTGTGGGCCTCGGATGTGGACAGATGTTGGTTATTAATGAGCCAGGTGTGTGTGTGTGCGTGCATAGGTTTGTAGTGTGTGTGTGTGTGTGTGTGTGTGTGTGTGTGTGTGTGTGCGCGCGCATGCACATGAATTCACAGGGTTCCATCTGTGCCTCCACATGAACTATTCACCAATAATAATCTGCTGTACATGTGGTGCTGTGTAGTTGGAGTTTAACCCGCCGGAGTAATGTCTGCCTCTGCTAAATAACATCTCCATAATCAAGTGCTTTGTTTTCTTTGTTTGTTTGTTTGTTTGTTTCTCACCTTCTTATGGCACCGTTTTCACATCCCTGCCTGTTTTGCTACCAATCCGTCCTTCTCTCTGCTGTAGCTCCCTTCGGTCTGTGCAGATCTTCAATTAACACTGATTTTATTTCACCTGCGACAAATATTTAGTCACAGCAAACTTGAGAAGTGCAGTCGTTAAAGTTACAACAAGATAGTTATTTTTCATTTTAATTGATGTAAGTTGTCTTAAGAATACTTTGAGCCAAGCCAAAAGTGTCCAGGGGACACGCCGCGACTCGGCGACAAAGAGGAAAAACAGGCCGCATATTTAACAGCAAATATGTGCGAGTGCCTTCCCTTCCACCTCCCGTCATCCCTCCTTCCCTCTTCTCCCTCCCCTCCACCCCCCCCCCCCTCCCCCACAGTTCAACGACAAGGCCGAGCACGCGGCCTGCTTCAGGAACCTGGTGCAGGCCAACGTCCGCAACAAGAGGATGCTGAAGGACGCCGTGCAGAGCATCACCGCCAAGGGCATCACCAACTACCGCGGCGGCTTCGAGATGGCCTTCGAGCAGCTCGCGCAGGTAAAGTGTCAGCGCAGTGTGCAACGTTTGCGCAGGTATCTGAATAGTTCACGTCCTGCTCGAGGCCTGGACGGAAGCCCGTTGGAACCCACGCGGCGGTTCTTGTCTGCAGCTGATGTCCATTGCATTGATCGTTCTCGTTCAATTATGAAAAATAATGGTGGCACACGGGACTCACTCAGGGATGACTCAAAGCCCGGTGGTGTCCTTATTTAAGGGTGAGTATCTGGCGTGCCCTTGTGGTTTCTTTTGGACATTGCAGATTTTTTTTTTTTGTAACTGCATGAAGAGGCATTAAAAGATCCTCGAGTTATTTATGCGACTGTGGAGCAGCAATAGGAATGCGTTGTTAAGAAATCGTTTTTATCCCCTAGATGAATGTGTCGAGGGCCAACTGCAACAAGATCATCATGCTGTTCACCGACGGGGGAGAAGAGAGGGCCGAGGAGATCTTTAAAAAGTATAACCCCAAGCAAGCGGTAGGACTGTGACCACGACGCGTTCAGAGAGAAGACCGCCGCCGTTTGCGTCGCGCCGTGTTCATTTTGTCTCCGCTCTTCATCTCGCTGCAGGTGCGCATCTTCACATTTTCAGTAGGTCAACACAACTACGACAAAGGGCCGATACAGTGGATGGCCTGCGCGAATAAAGGTGATGAGGATGAATGAAAACGATGTAAAGGGCCCAACTAATACAGAAATATGATAATAATATATTTTAACATGCTGTGTTGTTAAAATGGGGGTGAATGAAATGTCACCATGAATACGTTAATAACCTTGCGTATTTGTCTCAGGTTACTATTACGAGATCCCATCCATCGGTGCCATCAGGATCAACACTCAGGTACAATGAACACGGCCACATTTCCTCATAGTTATCCATGAATGGTGTCTTCTTGTGTCTCACTCGTTGCCTGCTGTGCCCTCTTGTGGTGAAATGTGTGTGTGTGTCTGTGTGTGTGTGTGTGTGGTAAATTAAACATCTGAAGCCCGTCTCTCTCTTTCACAGGAGTACCTGGATGTTTTGGGCAGGCCGATGGTCAAGGCTGACCGAAGGGCCAAGCAGGTCCAGTGGACCAACGTCTACTTGGACGCACTGGTATGTCATGTTTAGTACCGCGCACACAATTTGTGGGAATATAGAAAAATAAATAAATAAATTGTATTCAAATGTAAGAATTAGAAAATTAGAAAAATCAGTTTTGTGTCAGATGAAGAATTCCTGATAAGTGTTAAAACGTTTGCTGTTTGTCGTCTTGGTAAACTCCACTTCAACTCTGTTCAAGCAGTGTTTGTAAAAAAGAGATAATTTGAAGGAAAAAAAGAAAATGTTTTCTTGTGGTGCTTAAGCCTCCATCAAAATGGACTTCTAGGCGACGGTGCAGATAAGAGACCCGTCTGCTAAGCCGAGCCAAATGGTTTTTACGCTGTTTGCCATTCGTTTTACTGATAAGCAGCCGTCGACTTTTTGCGACTGTTGTCAGAAATGCGTCTGCCTTTTGTAACGTTAACGGCTCGTTCTCAGGCTGCAGCCGGTCGGTGTTTGATTTTTCATTAATCAGCCGAGTCGTTGGATTTCGGTTGGTCGTGAGTGGTGGTGAAATATGTCGATATGTCGCGTGTCTCCCAGGGTCTCGGCCTGGTGATCACCGGCACCGTGCCCGTCTTCAACAAGACCAACACGGGCTCAAAGGTAAGCCAGCGCATGTCTCTAATCATCTTTCTTTCACTCACCCGACTGAATCCTACATTCGCTGTACATCTGACCCTTTGACCCCTGTGGAGGATTTAAGTCTGCGGCTTAGAGAAGCGCCATAATGTTTACCAGACTAAAAAAAAAGAAAAACACACAACATGAATACTGCTCAATCATCTTCTCATCCTCCACTTTCATCCCCCCCTTTCTTGTGGCTCCTCCTTATGTCCTTTGTCGACGCCGAGGTCTCCCGGCGCTCTCCCTCGCGCGTCCACGCCAAGACGTTCCCGCGCGCCGTGAAGCAAAATAGATTTTCAAAAGAGATCAAACCTGCAGATCAGAGAGACAAATGATCCGGTAGCTAAGTGCTTCAAGATGAGGTCACATGTCTCCCTCGAAGGACTCTGGTGGCTGCAGGATGGAAATGCCTTGTCAGTGACTCATGGCGGCATGCGAGGCTATTGGGAATGAAGCTGTCCAGATTTCTGTTGCAATCCTTCAGAGTCCTTCAGAGGGACTCGACTCATCCGGAGGAAGAACAGCGGGGCTCTAAAGTAACGTCGCACAGTGACTCTTTCTACCTCTCACTTCCTCTTCGTGTGTTTTTTGTCAACGCTTCTCTCTCTCTCAGAAATCTCAAAACCAGCTCATCCTGGGCGTTATGGCCATCGATGTGTCCCTGGAAGACATCAAGAGACTGACGCCTCGATTTACTGTAAAAAGCACACACTTCATAAATAAAAAATAAAAAAACACATACAGAAACCAGCCTATTTACACAGCGTTGCGCGTATTTGGCACACGGGCCGCTGCATAATTCATTTCTCTGTATATTTCCCCTTTTTCCTTTGGCAGTTTGGACCCAATGGCTACTACTTTGCCATTGACGCCAACGGATACGTGCTGCTCCACCCTAATCTCCAGCCAAGGGTAAGACCGACTGTAATTCGGTGCAACCAGACGTTTTATTTTCCTGGAGACAGCCCCGTCTGTCTCGCTTAAACTCAATCGCCGCACATTAACATCCTGTCAACACCCAGTTAAACAGGACGTTCTCGTGCTTTTCAGACATAAAGATTCTTGTCTTTCAAGGCCCTTAGTCACATTTCGCAGAACGGTACACAAAATATGATTTTAGCATTAAAATGACCCGTGTGCGCCGTGGATGCAATGGTGGCTAGAATTACCGCTCTGACTTTTGTTTGTGTCGCTTGGCTGACTTTTCCCCCCTTCTTTGTCTGAGCTGTCCGTGCCACATGGGTCCACAATGAAGTTTGTTGAGATACAGCAAGATGTTTCTCATTGACTTTTCAGACATAATCTCTTCTTGTAAATCGCGCATGCACACATTCGTCACAGATGTTAACAACTTTCAAAAGTCAGTGTCAATATTTGGATTTCTCCGTGAGTGGTGCGCGGTTACAAAAATGTAATTATTTAATATGGACCACTGATGTTTACCGCGTGATTTTTTGTCAAGGCCCACTGAAATATGAATGATCGTAATCACTTGCATTCCCTTTACAGACGGGCGAGTTTGATGAACCTGTAACGCTTGACTTCCTGGATGCTGAGCTGGAGAATGAGATCAAAGTGGAGGTTTGGAAAAGAGATTACTCAAAGTCTTCAGAGTCCATGTGTCCATATCAGAAATAATGACACAATAATATCTGAATATGGTATGATTTTGTTTTTTTTATTGGTTCATTGATTTACGATGCTTACTTGGTTGACAGATGAGAAAAAAAATGATCGACGGTTTAACGGGGAATTACACAATATCTACATTGGTGAAATCTCAAGATGAGGTAATTTTATTTGGAAAGGGCAGTCCATACTAGCTTTGAACACGTTGCTGAGAAATTGTGTACTGACCAAACTTTTGCCTTTGAAGCGCTACATTGATTTAGGTCAGAGGATGTACACCTTTGCGCCAGTGACGGGAACCGATTACAGGTAAATATCACATGGGTTTTCCATGATAAATTCATTGCATGTGTTCAGTACGATTTACCAAACTGAGCAACTCTGGAAAATTTGCAGCAACCAGCGAAGTAATGAAGGGTGGAAAATCTATTCTGCTGCGCAGAAAGTTGCAGAAAATGATAAAATAATAGCATATATGTTTTAAAGTAAATACACACTGTCATCACATTGTGCGCGCGTGTGTGTGTGTGTCTTCTCCAGCCTCGCTCTGGTCCTTCCTGACTACAGTATGCATTACATCCGGGCCAAAATCGCTGACACAATCACCCAAGCCAAATGTAAGTTTTCAACCGCCTGCTCCGGTTTTTCCACCCGGTAACATTCACCTTCCGTTTACACCGTTCACACAGACAGTAGCCACATGTTGCTGCCTTTTCTCTCCGGGGACATTATAACCCCCCCCCCCCTCCCCTCTGCATGCCGTCACATCCAGTGTCGCCATGGCAAAGCACACCCTCTTTTGTGGTGTTCTTCAAAGTTTGTGTTGCCAGATGGCGGGACGAGTGGCTCCAGTGTCCCTTTTTCACATGTCCTCTATTCAAGTAACTCACTGTGTGTGTGTCTATCTACGTGCTTATTGGACACCATACAGCGGATCAGAGATGCCATATGTGTGGCGTTGTCGTCTCGTGTGTCTCTCGAATCCTCTGCGTTCCCACTAGTAAAACATGTCATTGGCTCATAGCGTTACACAAAGGACGTCTTTTTACGGCGTCTACATGAGTGTGTGTCCGTTAACTGCAGATGGAGCTGTTCCCGTGTTTCGGAGTGCGTTCCTCCTCCTGCACTCGCCTCGTGTCCGAAAGCGCTTGGCGACTTAGTAACAGTTAACTACTCTTTTCCCCATTGCGCATCATTCATTAGAAGTTTAATTTCCCGCATCCAGCGGACTTGGCTGGTCCCGTATTCCAGAGAGCTGTGAAATTCAGCTGGCAGAGACCCCGAGCTCGCATGACGTTGGGTAATCCATCAAAGTGGACTTTTCATCACCTTGAATTTGTGCTATCCGCGATGAATTAAGTGCGGTTGTGAGGAGGGGCTGGCTGATGCCTTAAGCATGTTCAAACGTCTGAGATGTTGTTGTTGGCTTGGCGGTTTTAACGAGACAAGCGGACAAATGAGACCGCCGGACACAAACATTGATTAAAAAAGAAAAATTGGTGACTTTTTGTGTGAACTCACTTGCAGGGAGAGTAGAGCACTTTGTCAACATGAAGGTAAGAAAGTATCTGAAAGGTTATTTCCACACAAAGAGCAGACAACTTGTTTGGGTAAAATATTGCTCTGCACAGTGTGTAATCATTAATGCTGAAACGTGAAAGCCCAGTAATTGGGTGATTTTAGAGTAAGCACAATGGATAATCTGCTTAAGACACAATGTGACTGATAATATCTAACAATGACTACAAATGTACACACACACAGTAGATTTTTACCTTCTTAAACTCCAAAAAGTTCTCCTGTACTGTTGAATCCAATATTCTTATTCAAAATCCATCAGAATAAAATATTGTGTGTGTGACCCCGTTGGCTTATTCCCTTTACCGCTCCCTCTTCGTATCCCCTTCCACTTCCATTCCGCCTCCTTTTCTCCTGACCTCCTCAACTCTTGACCATTGCCGGTGTGTCGGACCCCCCCCCCCCCCGGTCCCCCTCTTAACCCTGTCTCCTTTTCTCTCGCACCAACCAGCCGACTTTGGATGTAACTTCGCTTGCAATCGGTTCCTCGTGCGTGCGCCCGCGCTGTTGCAGACTCACGAGCGCGGGAGCGCTTTGTTTTCTGTTATTCTTCGTTCGGTGGCGTCTGATTAACAACGACTGTCCCGTTACGCTGAAACGAGAAGCGGCGCTTCGCATGCAATGTGCGCCCACACAGCGTGTCACAGTGTGTGTGTGTGTGCGCATTGCATGTTTCTGACCCCCCACTTGTGGGCCCTCAGATGTGGTTTTTGCTTCTAAACTGCAGCAGGAAGACCAGAGGACGGGGTGTTTCCATTATTTAAAAGGGGAAGCCATAAAGGAGAAAGCTGTGAGTCTGCACCCAGAACATGAGTGGGTTTGTTTTCTTTAGTTGGCTCTCCTTGATTCACTTAAGAGTTTTACAACCTCGTTAAATAAGTCCTAATGAAACACAGGTTCCCCCGGCTGTTGGTCCTTTCCGCGCGCTTCGCCGTCACCGCCGTCGTATCGAAACTCTCCACGGATCACGTTTAAGCTCGACGGTTCGACTTAAACTGGAGCCCAATTTCTGCCCGCTTTATACTTTCTCCAAAGACTGTTCGGTCCCGCTAACCGCCGCGTGTCCTTGTTCCCCCCCCCCCCCCGTGTAGATTTGTAAAGTCGGCGTTCTGCGTGTGAGATTGATTCGCTCTCAGGCGGATCGTCGCTGCATGTTTTAGACGTTGCACAGCTTCAGTTATTCACAAAATGTTCTCAAGAGTGGCAGGAATGTCATCCTCGGTGTGAAAAGGCCTGAGAGAGCGCAGAAAATATGAGCACTCGTCACTCCCCAAATCTCCCCGCCATCCATCACTACTAGATACTTTGTTGGATTAGTGAGTGGTGACCGAATATCAAAGAAAAACACATGTGTGCAATTATTTCCCAATCACGACCACCAAAGAGGACAAGGAGCAGCCCATGTCGTCATGCAAAATTTTGCTGTACATTATAATCAACTGTCGACGCCACATGCTTTGGAGAATGTCGGAGGGGACGTTAAGGTTATGAGCCGTGGTTAATCTTCTCCTGTGTGCGGTATTGTAATGCAAATACATCACTCCACAGATTGACCAAAAGCACGGTAATACTGATGCTAAAAACACAGCTAGATCACGGCCTTAGAACACATTGTAAGCCCGCTCTTTGTCTTCTCCATCAGCAACTGTCTCCATTTACATCCAAAGGCCTGAAACCGTTTGTTTGCAGTGCGATATTTCTATTCAGGACTCGCTCTCTGAATAAAATATTGTGTCACCTTTTGACCCCTGTGGTTTTTCCCTGTCTTGTTTCCTGATTCTTTCCCCTCTCGTCTTTACCTCCCCGGGGGATGATTCTCTTGTTGGCTCACTCTCTCTCTGCTGGGATTTTATTTCCACTCCAGTGAAAGATGGCAAGTATTTCTTCCTTTTTTACTTTCATGTCTTTCCTTTTGTTTGTGAGCCTTTTGGACTCGGCATGCTTGGCCAAACCTATTCTGGTCCTTTTTTATTCATTTTAAGCTGTTCGTGCAAGACTTTTTTTTTATTTTATTAAGCATATGTGTAAAACTGTCCACAGCTTTTGCTTTGGTTGGTCATTTTTATGATTGATGTGGTGAATATGGCTTTTGGCTTTTAATATTTTCTCCATGTGAGAACCGACCCCTCGCTTTTCCATTCTACTTTGCATTTCGACTAAATATCGAGTTGAATTCGATGCATGTGACCATGTTGAACGTGTGGAGCCACAGTGCTAATGTCTGACCGCTCAGCGATGGATCGGGGTTCGTAGGAGGTTTCTCTCATGGATGCACATAGTCAACAGGTGTTACGTTCCAGCCTGCGGAGCAAAATCTCCGCTGCATACAAGGATTAATACGGCTTGATGTGAACGGAATATTAACCCGCACGGGAGGAAGAGTAATAATATTTGATGCCTCTCACCAGTTTCTGAAAGCCTGATGGCGGACAAGTTTGATGAATACGGCTATACATTCATCGCACCGAGGTGAGCTGCTGCGTTGTCTATTTTTACACCACATTTTCCAAACAATTGTAAAAATACATATTCTTTAAACCTCCAACATGACGACCATGTCATAAAGGCACATTTCTACCTTGTGATTCCCCCTTTTTTTTCACACTTAATTCACAGAAATAACGCTTTGGTTTCCCACAGGATGTACTGCAAGGACCTAAAGCTTCCCGACAAGAACCAAAACAACACCGAGTTCCTCATGGAGTTCAACGACTACATTGACACAAAGACGCCCAACAACCCCATGTGTGAGTGTCATGAGACGGGGAAGTGTTCTCTGAAGTACTTCTCACTACCTTACGTGCTCCCGAGGCCTTTAACCAACGCCTATATCGTGTGAATTCAAAGTTCTTACTTCTCACTGCCGCCTCCCACAGTATTTCATCAAAGAGCTGCTAAGCTTTACAGTGTTTGCTGTAGGATGTATATATCTGAACGAATATCAGCCATCTGGCTTGACGTCAAGGTGTGCATTGAACATTTAACTGAAGAGCGCCAACGGGAAGAAAAAAAAAAAAAAAACCTATTCCCAAAGGTCTCTCTTTCCAGTGAAACACAAGTCTGGCTCGATGGTTTGGTGTGCATGACCGGGCAAAGCTTTGTGATGTCGAACCCCTGTGTTCGTGTTACCCATTTGATGCTAACTCTAAAAGTCTGACCATCACACGCCTGAGTGCACATGTGTGAGGCACGTCGGCTTAGATGTGACACACACACACACACACACAATATTCACCAGTAATATGCCTTGCACACCCCACCTATAGCCGCTCGACCTCATCCAATTACCGTGTGTTTGTGAGAAAGAGCAGGACACGTCAAGCCGAGAGCACGAGAGGAGCAATAAAACACAAATCAGGGGCCGGCGGACCTTCTCCCAAACATCTGACCGACGCATTAACATCGTTGCAATTTCTTGCACACGCTCGTTGATAAGCGTCGCGCACTCAAACCGTTGCCCGCGGAGTGAAACAAAAGTTCCCCAGGTATTTATAAAATACCTCCTTCCATTTTGGCCCCCGGACGATTTCAGTGTGAGAACTCGGTTCGAACGTGATCAATCCAATAAAACTTTTCACCCAATTGAAATACGGCGCTCCGCATTATTAGCTGCTAGTTTAATGGAGTCCACGGGGAGTTCAGTGAGGGGGGGGGGGGGGGGTTGCCGGGGGGGGGGGTTCGGCCCTGGCGGACTATTTGCGGCCCGAGTATCGTTACACGCTTTACTTGGTTAAGCCACTGCAGTGGCGGAGAAGTTGAAGTACATTAGGAATTCTTGGGCTGCCTTCAATAAAGGATCCCTAATGAAAACCACTGCACGGGGAGAGAAGGTGGGGGGTGGAGGGCGGGTTAAAGTGTTACACCAGCTGTTCTCTCTGATGTGTGTGGTGTGTCATAAAGGCCCGAGGAGGGTGGGGGCACAGCGACGAGCCTCGACGTTAATGGACTGAAGCGGGTCGTCGCAGAGTTCAAAGCGGCTGGCGGTGGCAAAAAAAACGGGTCGAGCGGCTTTTATCGCGTGTTGTTTTTCTCGTGTGGTCTTGTCGGACATCTTTAAAAAAAAAAATAAACATTGTTACACCTATTGCCCCACGCCAGCTACACCTGGCCGGCTACTTTGGCGCGTTCATCGGTACCTTTCTGATGCTTTGGTCAAGCTCGGCTACCTCGGACCCACCTGCTTTCTAAAGAGTCTTTAAGTGATGTTTCGTTGTCCAGGTAACGTGGAGCTGGTGAACCGATTGCTCCTGGATGCCGGCATCACCTCATCTCTCATCAAGCATTGGAAAACCACCGAATCGCAGTAAGTGAAGAACCGACATCTTGCCACCAATACTTTAGTGTCACCGAACGTAAAGCATGTGGCAGGTTTTTTATATATACGTTTTATTGCCTTCTCCTCTCTGCGTATCAGGCATGGTGTCTTAGCCCGGTTCGTTGCCACCGATGGAGGGATCACACGGGTCTACCCAAAAAGGTACAAGCAAGGGAAGCGTAATGTGTTCACAATTACCCGGCAAAGAATTATGACGTCATCTGCAAAGAAACTAATCTGGACCTCGGAGCTTCCTTCCACTTTCACACATCAAAAATAGTGTTTTAACAACCACGAACGCTGTCCTTCACAAGCAGAAATAAAAAATGCTTCCAACCCTTGTGTGAATGCTAAACGTCTTGTGCGGCTTGCCGTGTGTGTGTGTGCTGTGTGTGTGTGTGAATGGGTTCCACAGCGCTGGGCAGTACTGGGAAAAGGAAGCCGAGACGTACGAGTCAAGTTATTACAAGAGAAGTTTGGACAACGATCTGTACATCTTCACTCCAACGCCCTACCTCTCCAAAGAGAACAGTGAGTTAAAGCCTCCCCAGATGTGTGTCTCCCTGGGACTCCATGTGTCGCACACACACACACACGTGGTGTGTTGTCCTTCCTCTCGCAGGCAGCGAGGACTCTGTTTTGGTGAGCAAAGCGGTAAACCTCAAAGTCGATGGTATCCCTCTCAAACCCGCTGGTAAGGACACACACACACACACACACATATATACGTTTACATATTTATACTCGACATTCCTCAAGCTGTCTCTCTGTCTGCCACCTACTTATAAACACATTCCCACTTACCGCTGAATGCTTTATTTACACGCCCATATTTGCGACCCTAAAGTCTTAATAATGCCTGACTGTATATCTTCTCACACACCGCTATTCCTCCCGTAACCTCTGACATATTCACACAAACATCACATTGTTTGGTCTCCTGTGATCACGGGCCAAGTTTGCGTTTGAGGAGTTCAGAGAGGAAAGTTGACGCGGAGGTCCAGCGTGATGGAGGATGTCTGGCTTTTGTGTTTGATCCCAGTGGTCGGCGTGAAGCTGGACATCGGTGCCTGGATGGAGAGCTTCATCAACACGACGCAGAAGAGCAACGTGAGTGGATTCGACGCTCGTGAAGCGATGCCGTTTGTGGATCGGACCTTTGCGTGACTCTTTTCCCCTCTGCTGTATTTTCAGTGCAACGATGAGATCTGCGGCTGTCAGCGTAACAATGCGGTAAGGATTCAACTGCATATTGTGCATGACGTCTCCAGCCATTATGTTCAAATATGTGTCAGCAGCACAAAAGATTGGTTTAATTTCCATTTGATTCCAGAATATAGACTGTGTCATTCTGGACGACGGGGGCTTCCTGGTGATGTCCAATCGAGACGAACACATTGACGAGGTGGGCCTCGTCCTTTTAACAAGTTTGACACCAAAGACTTTTAAATGAGTGGACGTAAGGGTCGATGTGGGTTACAAATGATTGTCAACATACAAATCTACTGAATCGTCATCGTCTTTGCAGACATAAACCAATGTAAGGTAAAGTATACATTTCTCCTCTGACCACATGACCCTATGCTAACATGCTAATAGTGTCCCTGCTGTCGTCTGAGTCATTGTTTTTTCATGCCGCCCCGGCTCCTTCTCAATCAGGCCGGGGTGTGCGCCGGATAAATCAATGGCCCTCTGAAGTTTGGCAGCAGCACTTAAACCCAGGCAGGGACCCGAGGCCTTGTTTGGAGACGACTGTGTGCCCTCAATCATATTTCCTACAGGAGCGGGAGTTTCTTCCCACTTTATGTCCTTCTTTCGCTTTTCTTTCTCTGAAAGCCCTCGGGGAGTCTGCAGCCAACAGGGCTGTGACTGTTAATTCATTATTTGTTTTTACTGCACAGGGAAAGGAGAGACGGCTCCCTTTACCTTATAGAATGAAAGATTTATACGTCCTTTGGCTGTTAGACTAAAGCGGAATGGATATGTGGAGGACGGCTTGTTAGCGGTGACCTTACAAAGTGGAAGGAAAAGGATGGTCCGCATTTCCTCGTGCACGCACCTTTCAGTATGCACGCACACACACACACACACAGACGTACTGTACAAACTCCCTCGTGGACACAGGTGCTCAAACGCTCCCGCGCACACGATCGTGTCACACCTGCCGAGATGAACTACTTCCGCGGAAATGTTGGAACGTGTTAATCAGATTAAACTGGAGTCTCGCATCCTGGCGCGATTTAATTCACCGTGAACATTTTCCACACACGTACACACATTCTTAAATAGATTTTACAGTTTTCACATGGATTTAACATTCGTGGGTTGAACGTGTAAATGTGTTTAATTGCTCCGTAATTGTAATGTATTGAGGAAAATTTTCACATGAGGCATTTAAAAAAGAAAGAACCAACGTGGGTTCAAAGGTTTACCGATGATGTTGTGAAGATGAGCATCACACCAGTATGTCCATGAGGTCTGCTATCTTTGTTTCTGTTTTAATTTCAATAATATTGTAAAGAATGTCTTGAAACCGTATTTGTACATGTTGAGCATTACACGGAGTTGGATACCCTTCTCAAATTTCCATGGAAACACAAATCCATCATTAACGCCATCCTCCAACTTCAATGTCGACATTTCGATGACCACCCCACCCACCCACCCGCTCCTCCTGTCTTCAGATCGGCCGTTTCTTTGGTGGCATCGACCCGATCCTCATGGTGAACCTGGTCAACTCGTCTCTATTCACCTTCAAGAAGACTTTTAACTACCAGTCGCTCTGTCACCCCGAGAAAGAGAGCAAGGCGGCTGCAGGCCTGCGATCCGTCTATGTGGTGAGTTACAAAAGCCAGAGACCGTTCACACAACGAGCTTCCACACTCGTGTACACACACACGCACACACTCAAAGCCACCCACGTGTGCACACCCGCATTTATATGATGCACACTTTTTTATCGGCTCACACTCGCATGACGAGTACACACACACACACAGCCATTTGCAGCCATACCTGCCTGCTCACTCTCTTCCAAATGAATGCGCGCGCGCACACACACACACACACACACACACACACACACACACACACACACGCACACGCGTGCACGCTGAGCGAGGGAGCCATAAATCTGGATCGAGCCGACGAGAAGGAAAGCAGAGGGGTATGGTGAAAGCGTTAGAGTGGGAGTTTGCAGGAACAGTAACAAGATTAGGTGGTCCAACGTGCTTGGCTAACACGCCAAGTGATGTAAAAAAGAGGCACTGCTTTACATCACTGAAAAAAACGCACATCTTTCAGTGAAATGGTGCAAACTGTCTGCGGACGTCGGGGATGCTGATGAATTTCCCTCAGACGCTGACAGGACATAACAGACAGTGGTTACGAGCTGATACCTAAAAGGGACATTAGAGTGTTTTTATAGGTATTTACAGATGCAGAAATCGCTAACAAGTGAAACCACATGATGCGCCTGTTCGACCGGAGTGAGATGAAAGTTGTGTTCTCGATGACTCAACGCAACACTTCACCTTTTCGGGAGAAAGGATGCAACACTCAGTCGGCAAAACAAGGCCCTCGCATGCTAAGCGTAATCAGAGCAGCATGTCGGGCCTCTTATTCAGCGTGTGCTACTTTGTTTTCTTACCAACTCCTTGTTTACATATTTACGCTCACATCTGTTGCGGGGGAAAGTGATTTCCTTTCTGTGCCTGGCCTGTCCGGACAGTCATTAGATGGTTGTAAACACAAGCAGGATGTTCAGGTTGGCTCGACCAGTTTATACATAATGAACACGGTGAACTTGGTATTAATCCTCATGTCATTGTCCCCCTTAGCCCACAGTTGCAGATATTTTGAATTTGGGGTGGTTGGCGTCAGCCGCAGCTTGGTGAGTCTGATCTTTTCCTATGAGGCTGGCATTCATGTCTGCCCCATTCTTTTCCCCAAATGATTGATAGCAAATATATACATACTATAAAAGCCGTTATTTAAATCCTAATGGAAAGCAGGCAACGATTTGGACCAGAATGGACAAGTAGCATCTGTTTAATAGCTGAATTGTTCCCAGGACAGTCCGCATACCACAAAATCATCCATTGATTTATTGTCGCATCAGCATTTACACAGATGATTTATTGTGGATTGTGTTCCAATGAATGCAGACATTTTTCATCCCTGGCTTTTTGCTCGTAGGTCAATAATGCAACAGTTACTGGTCAGCATCACGTTTCCCAATTTCCTGGACGCAGGTGAGTTCCTGTCAATTTGACTAAGAGAAGAATAATTGAGATTTGATTTTTTTGGGAATCCGTAGTAAGCGAGGGAGTAAGCTCCACGCCGCCTAAATGGTCTCATTATGGAAATGAAAATGGTGTTTATTCTCACTTTGACAAGGCCTATTTTTTTAAACCGTTTCTTCATCCCAAATTCCGGTGAAATACTCGAGGCAGGCCAAGATGAAATGGCTTACATAGTAAGAACTTAGTTCATAGAGACACAGGAGTTAGAGTCTATGTTTTATGTGGACAGGATCGGTTTGTTCAACCGTTTCTGTGTTTGTTTTTCCAGGGCGCTTTTTGGATTTATCACAGTTTGTGATTTTCTTTTTAGCCCCTTAAAGATTAATCCAGTGTTCCCTTGTGTACCTGGGTGTACAGTCGGGGTCAGACAGCCGACTCAGACTGAATGCATTGTTCAAGAATATACAATGTTGTATGGATTTGTCATTGTGGTGATAAACTTCTGCAAACTACAGGTCCATGGTTCTAACAAATGGAGATTTTTAGGGCTGCACTAAAGAATCCTTTTATATCAGATGGATTCTTTTGCTCAGTCGGTTCTCTTCACCTTGGCGTATCGTTCAGCTCATTTGGGGGGGTTTTACGGCCAATTATATTTCAACAATATGGCGCTTCAATGTTTCGTATGCCTTGAGATTGCTGACACTGCTGAAAGTGAACGAGCACGACAGTCTTTGTGCGTAATCCCACAGCCGAGATGGACGACGAACCGTCTGATGCCAAGGGCCAAGAGGTCTGCATCAAGGAGCAAACCCAATACTACTTTGAGAACAACGTCACGTCTTTCGGAGGAACGATCGACTGTGAAAACTGCACCAGGTAAAGGAATAAATCGGTCGCGCAGAGAAACAAACACTGCACCGATACGTTTGCATCCATGAGACGCAACCAAAGTCCCCAGAGGTGGCGACCGAGAGAGGGCTTGTAAAAAAGTCACATGCCATGAAGGTGAAGTCAGGTCCCAGGAGCGGACCACCTCCTTGGCATTCTCCCCTTTGTGCCTGTGCACGTGTGTGTACGTACACCACTTTTAAGGCCCCCTCGTGCCTACTAATGGAGTGCCTGCCCGCATGCTGCGCGGCGTTCCTGCACATTAGCCGCACATAAGTTTCCCTTTAACGACGACCATAAAAAAAAAAGCGGAGAAAATCATTTGTGCACAAGTGACATGTGGGTTTCGGTCAAGGTGCCGGAGGACGGCAGGGTGGCACAGCGGGCCTGCTGTCCGCTGCACAGTGCACTTTTCCTCGTGGTAGAGATTGCAAGGTTTTGTCATGTGTGAGAAAAAAAATAGTTCACGTTTGCTTAAAAAGCAGCGGACCAAAAACGTCATTCCTTTCCGGTTTCGTATTGCAACGGTGAAATGTCGTCTCTCCGTCCTTCCTGGACTCAAGCCCGAGTCTCTACAACCTCTCTCTTGTGTCCCCAGACTCTACCACGCCGAAAAGCTGCCCAAGACGAACCTGGTCTTCATCATCGCTGATGCAAAAGTCACCTGCTCGTCCTGCGACACCAAGCCGCTGATTCAGGAAGAGCAGCAGTGTATCCTTGGAGCCCAACGCGCTCATCGTCTGGCAGAGAACGCGGATGTTTCATTCAACAGATGTTTTTTTTTTGTGGAAATTGTGTTTCTGGACAAGACGGACGGCGACCATTCGTCAACGCTCAGTGCTCAGCGAACCCCTCCGCGTGCATCTGCTAAATCCCCACGACCGCCATCATTTTTGTAAACATTTCCCCAATAATTGACATTTTGTCCCCCGGAACAGCAGATGCGTCCGCGTGGCCTTTCTCCCTCTCTGCTGTGTCTGCGAGGCAGATGGCGTCTGCTGGATGGCTTACAAACAAATCTAAAGCTCTCTCTGAAACACACGGGGCTGAGGCCAATTAATGATTAAGCCTCTCGGAAAACACAATGCTCAAAGAGAAAATCATTGACGTGTGGAGCGATGGTGCTCGGGTTCCGGCCAGAGAAGAACTCTCTTTGATTTAACGGCGGTAACGTGATATGTCCGACATTTGTTTCCATAATTGCAAAAGAACTGTTGTGCTCCTGACGTTATTCACCCAGCAAATGGCCCTGATCCCTGTGACATGGCGAAGAATCCCCGCTACAGGAAAGGGCCCGCGGCTTGCTTTGACAACAACGAACACGTAAGTTCCTTTCCGATCGCACGGCGACTGCTCCTCGCGGACCCACTCGAGCGGCGCTCAATTTCATAAACTGAACCAAACTGTGAGGCCGTTGCTGCTTTATCAGTCCCTCGAGAGCTGAAGACATTTTTGCAGGAAATCCAGGCTGAAATGAGAAAAGCTTTTCAAATTAAAGCGCGTGCCTTCGAGGCTACAGTTTTTGGGGCTTCCCTCCTAAAATTATTGGAGTTCATCGCCAAGAAAAATAGACTGACGGGGCGATGAAAGACCTCGCAGCTCGATTGGCCCTTTCCACGGTACGCGTAGTCATTTTAGCCTTAATTACTATTGAAATATGGATGAGAATGTAATGTAAACGGAGAAAATCTGGCCAGACTTTGAATAAATCACAGATCACAATTAACACAACGAAATATTGGGCACTGAATTATTTAGAAATGTTATTATTACTCAACACAATATTCAATCAAAATAATAAATGCTAGTGTTGGTTTGAGGTGAAATCGCTCGACCTGTTTTGACAAGAGAATTTTTTTTTTTTAATTCTTTTAAAAAAGAATCAAAACTCCTCATCGGGCCGGAGTCCAAAAATCCTTAAGCTCCTAATATGAAAACAATATTTCCCTGAAGAAATCCCCCCCATGGCACCTCTCCATCACTAATATCTTTACATGGTGCATGTTGTTTCTTTTTTTTGTTGTTTTGCTGCTATCCCAAACTAATCCCAAAACCCGAGCTGTATGTGTGCAGATTTCCCACGCAGCGGCTGGCCGTCGTTTTCTGCTCGACTCTGAATAACTCGGCTAAACAAACAATCTCCGCCAGCGAGTCCTTCGCGCCTGAGTGCTCTGTTTGTTTTCGCTCTATAGTCTTTTTCCAGCGTCAACGTTTTTTTTTGTCGGCCTTGAGAATGAACTCGTGCGCTCGTACCTCACACGCGGAGCGCCCACACGCTCTTGTCTCGGATGCATATGTCGCCGTGCTACTACTGTCCAGACTAAGCTTCATGCCTTCTCAGCTTTCTAACTTCTACCTGTGTGGACCCTTTTTGCTGCATGATTCTCTCTCTTTTCTGTTTTCTCTGCTTCCTGCTCTGTGATTGGCTGGTTGATGCTTAGGATGAGGCCATGTGCCGAAGGAGCGCAGGCTCCCCGTTGGCCTCCTCTCTGCTCATGTTACTGCTGCCACTGTTCATGTGCTGTCTCGGGTCAGTCCCATACCGCCAAAATGTCTCATATGTTCCATCTCTATCGGCCGCCGCATCGAACTGCTTTCGCCACAACTTTTACACTTTATTGTTTTCCTCACCTCATTTCTTCTCCTCTTTTTACATCTCTGACCTTTTCCTGCTTTGTTCCAGGTGCTTTGTCTTTTTGCATTGTGTTTTTTTCTTCCCCGCCCTCATCTTCATCACCTGTCACTCTCTCTTATGTTCTACCACCATCTGTCTTCGCCCCCCCCTTACCTCCCGGTCTGTTTTCTGCCCCTCGCTAACATTTTCTCCATCTCACCTGACTTTGAACTTTAAGGCAGGCTCTTTGTATCTTCACCCATCTGTCATTATCAGTCGCAGGCAACAGGCTCCTGTGTCTACATGCGTTGACATCTGATTACTGATGTAGCCAGACGCTTTGCTAAAACAGGTCACTCACTCCTCATTTGCATCCAGACGTCTGTGCGTCTCCTTTTTAATGACTCACAGATCCTTTCGTCTCCAAAAACATGCCAAGGGAAGACATTCTTTCCCTCGTACCTCACCAGACGCTAAACCTGCAGGGTGGGAGTATCCGATCAGTTTTGGTCGGACGTGACCCTTCAAGTTTTCATTTATTTTCTTGATCATTGGCGAAGCTTCAGTTAAAATGTTTCCAGCTAACCTTCACAACCCCACACAGGGGTCTTAAGTATATATACACTTGATGGCTACATAAATAAAATAAGAGGGGCATGTCCTCGGAAACTAAATCAGCATCCTGAACGGTCAATGTAGAAGGCCGAAGAAAAAGATTAAGCATTACTCTTTAGTTCAGTGTTTTAAGTATGTGGCATTATGCATTTTAATGTAACCTTTAAATCCTCAATCTTCTGTAACAAAGGACTTTGGGAAAGGAGCAAAAAGGCTCTACTGTCCAAACGTATTGAACGCAGAGTATCACTCATTAGATCTCCATGCGCACCGACGCGTGCAAAGAAATCCAAAGCTTGAGCGATCAAATATTAGACAATGTAAAGTTTCTGGTGTGTCGTCTTTAACAATCTGTAACTCCACTCCTTGTCCCTCTGCGCCCGGCTGCAGGAGAAGGACCCTGACTGTGGCGGGGCGTCCGGCCTGAGCCCCTCGCTCTGGCTGACGGTGGCCCTTCAGCTGGCTCTGCTCTGGGTTTTCACTGGCTCCAGACCCCATAGCGTCCCGTCATGACCTCTGAAAATGCTCATCAACCCCCCCCCCCCCTCTCTCTCTCTTTCTCTCTGTCTCTCTCCCTCTGATTTCTTCGAAAACGGCAACCAGCATGCAACGCTGCCACCGGAACGACAGACACCCGATGAGAAGCGTCGTCTGCGTCGGGTTTCTCCTTTTTGATACCTTCATTTTCAGGGGATTCTCAAGGTGATTTCACCAGGTTCAAGAAAGAAGTGTGTCGAATGAAATGTTGACTGGAAGATATCTTTGAACGACAAAGAAAGACCTCAACATTTGCCTTCCGTTCGTGGCTCCGATTGGCCCCCGGCAGCTGAGATTAGAGGAACCCAGAGATTCGTTTTTCGATTGGCGACTCCTGAACTTTTGTCATTGCCTTATATTATCAGAGGGTTCAAAATCCCGATGGGTAGAGGGGAAGGGGGCGGGGGGGGTCTGACTGTTTATTAAAGATGTCGAGCAGCGCTGCCCTTTTGCAAGCGCGAATCAATTTGCAGTGAGTAGTTCTTAGATATTTATTATTTTGTGATTGAGGATTTGGCCAAATTGCAGTAAGAGATGCCAAATTGTTACATCACACACCCGCGTGCTTCATTTTTCCCCCGTTGGGTTGCTGAAAACAACGTTGTCCTGGTCTGATTTCTTTCGACAGCACTTTGCAGAACATTTTCACAGTGTCCCTGAGGGTCTTTTCTAACCCCCCCCCTCATCGTTCTTTCATGTTGATACTGTACTTGTGCATTTCACTGTTCATTGTTATTGTTCGTGCACAGAAACCAACCGTTCTACTGCCACAGGGCCGGCTCCTGACTGTACAGATGTTGTCACGTTGTAGCCGAGCATCTAGTCATCCAGAGTAGTAAATCACCTCAAGGTCTCGAGTGCCGCGCGGCCCCCGCGTGACTCGTGCGGCTTCTGAGCGCAAGGACGCGTGTTCGTATAGTTTTTGTCTTTGTTTTCATTTGAATGAAGCATTGTGACGGCGTGCTACTTCAATGCCAACACTGAAAAAATGAAAAATGAATGAAGGGGGATGTGAGTTTGTATTTGACTTTTTGGTCGACAACAAAAAAAAGAAAAAGGAAAAACATGTGTATGTATTCACAGCAGTCGCTTTTTCAATCAAATGACTACTATCTGCACTGCATTTCAAAGTGCAGCTGTTATTTGGTCCTTACTGGAGAACAACATTTATCTCTTTCTAGTAGTGAGGTTTCCTCTTGTAACTTATATTACTGTGGTATTCTATATCGCCCCAGAGAAATCACTGCAGTCAGTCGCTGCTTGTGATCTTCTTTACTGCTGTATTCTGTTTTCTCCACTAGAAACCCTTTTCAACTCGTTTCATTATGTGTGCCTTGTTTTCCATTTGGTGATAAATTACAGATGTTTTACTGTAAAAGCTTTTATTGAAATAGTGTCATCTTGTTTGCAGTTTAGTCAATTTAGTCAAACCGCTGCTGCAGAGCAAAATAAATCTGATAAAAACAATTAAAAGCAAATCATTTCACAGGACCAAATCAGGAATCTTAAAGCAGCTACACGCCAACGCAGTACTAACTATGTCAAAGGGAGTTAAATAATAATAATAATAAACAACTTTCAGGATGAAAATGTAAATCCATCCTTATGTTGCAATATGTGGAAACCTACAGGCCTTTCTCCGTTTAATTCACGTATCTACGTATGGACTTGAGGACAAGGATTGATGAAGAGGCGTCAATTCAAGTAGGCAGGAAATAATATATCAGGCAGATATAAACCGTGACCATAAAAGTGTCATTTTTACTTGAAACAGCTGCACTTGATGGTTTGCTTTTTCAGATTCCAAACATCAACAGAGGAACAAATTTGGGGATTTTGAGGATGCCTCATACACCACAAAAACACATCTGTATCTTTGTGTTTAGTGTTTAGTGCTGGAGTATGTTTATAGGAGACAACCACACATTATTCTCTACAGAATTATAACTGCTGCTGCGTCATACTGGCCACGTCAGTTTTTATATCAGTAGTGTCTCCACGTCCGATCAAGACGTGCTGGTTGGTCCGTTTTCTTTTTTGACAAAGCTCCGCCGTCATCGACTGAAACTCTTCTGTGTGCACTTCTTTACTCTAACCCTGTATTCATCCAACAAAATCAGCGGTATTAACGCTCTTCATTTACTAACTTACTCAAGAATATAAAGTGCCATATGGGGCCCTCTTGTTCTCTCGTGGAGAAACCTATTATCGTAATATCACATTTATGCAACTTACCAATACAACACGTACGTCTCATGGACCGTGTCCCCGCGCTGCGCGGTAGTGGCTTTACAATCTATTCACGCCTCCTGCTTCAGTGTGTGATGTTGGGAAGGATAACATTCTGCATTCGTATTGTGATGATCAGCTATTACTGCCTTTCTCTTGGGAGGCGGGACAGCGTTTGGCTCCACCCTCCTCCCGGGTCAGCTGGGGAAAAGAGAATCCGATTGGCCAGATTGATGTTTAAATGCGTTAACCAACCTGTCGGATTTGCTCAAGCCATTTATGAGTCGGTGTTACTTCATGACCATACCGGTGGTTTAGCAACGATTACACTGCTATCTGCTAATATCTCATCGATTCAGACATTCATGTTTCCTGCTGAGTCCCGATGACATTGCTCACCATCGGGTCGTCTCGGGTTGCGGCACAGAGGGAAACGTCTCCACGGCTGTTTGGTTCGTTGCCATTCAGCTGGTTTGAATTGTTGACCTTCCTGTAATCCCTGGAATATGTTCAAAAGTTCAATTTGTTCAACAACTTGGTTTAAATACTTTTTAAAACGAACCGCGTTGCAGTCGGCCTTGATCTCAGCTGCTTCCTGCTGTGAAAGTAAAAATAAGAAAGCAACATCGACTGAAAATAAGTTGAAAATAATGTTGTTGACGCGCTGCACACACAGCTGCTGGTTCGGCTGCAGACTCACCAAACGATCCCATCAGAGCTGCATTTTTCCTTCAAACAGTTTGCAGAGTCTTCAGTCTGCTTCTCAATGAAATGTTTTTGTTTTTTACATGACACACGTGTGAACAGTGAGTGCCGTTGGTGATGTCGTGGGTTCCGTGTGGGAAAGTAATGGAAAACGACGCCTGCCTGAAAAGTCGGAAAAGACCTTCAAAGGTAGAACAAAAGTTGACATGGTCATTATTAATCAATATACATTAGTTCCTATTAAGACCATTATAACCTATCGTGGTGTAACTTGCAAAAATACCGGTATGGTCTTTTAAGTGATGAAGTATAGAACCGCCAAAAATGCCCCAACTTGCTGCTTTTAGAGCTGCACAGAAAACAACAAAAAACGTTGCAAAAGGAACATGAGCTCATTCTTTCCACTCTTAAGTGCTAAAATCAGATGCTGTCACTTCTCGAATAATATTCTCTCTGTGTTTTTGACTCTGTCTGTTGGTGCTGTCTGTACGGATTGTGTGGGTTCGCCTTTTTATTTCGGGAATCTTGAGGATTAGCTGTCTGTGTGTGTGTGTGTGTGTGTGTGTGTGTGTGTGTGTGTGTGTGTGTGTGTGTGTGTGTGTGTGTGTGTGTGTGTGTTTATGTCTTTTACCTCGCTGCCACTCTCTGGCAGACGATTGGCTGTCAGTCAATCTTTCTCCGCCTTCGGTTTTAAGGCGGGCTTACACTTTACTGGAACTTGATTCTCCAGAATCAAACATGTAAACATTTGTACAAAACTGATGGTGTCCTCAACAAAAAGAACAATGTTTATAATCATGGGGAGTAAAAATGTGTGAATTCATGTGCAAATAAGATACATTCAGAATAAAAGTTTATGATTACTATCTGTTGCATCGCGTTTAGAGTTTAGAGTCTCGTCTGTATTTTTTTCCACAGTGGATCAGATTTCTGTTACTAACTCCTGTCACATTGCCAACACACATTTCCCATCCAAATGTGTGTGTGTGTGTGTGTGTGTGTGTGTGTGTGTGTGTGTGTGTGTGTGTGTGTGTGTGTGTGTGTGTGTGTGTGTGTGTGTGTGTGAACGAGAAAGAAGCACCCTGAGTCGGCTCTCGCGGCATCAGAAACCGACGTACTGCCAACATCAACAACGTCCAGAAAAGGAGACGATGGAGGTTCGGCCACGTCTCTCTGCAGCGGTGAATTTGCCTGAAGGACGCGTCCATTAACAGCCGTTAATAATGACTTACCCACCCGTAACGTTCAACGGTCATACATTTAGTAATTCCTGTTTTCCCCTTTGCACGTTGATCAGATGCTAAGTGACTTTCTCGTTAGCATAGTCCACTTCGCACAGAAACCAGCTGTGCTCAAGCCCAGATTCTCCTCACTGCCCCCAAAAGACAAACTACAGGCCACTATTTGACGCTTTATAATGGACGTTAAAAACCAGCCCCAGTTCTGTACGGCACACTGCTGAGCCCCAAAGCAGAGCTACAATCCTAAAGGTGCTTGGGGGCATTATAAATGTAACAAATTACAGTGTCTTTACTGTTGATTTTTAATAGTAATGCTATACGGGGACCAATAATATGAAATGAAATGGACAAACGTGACAGAAACCGCATCAACTAAAACCTTCGCAAAGATGCCGGATTTAATGGACTCTGCAGCCATTATTCAAAATGTGATTTATCGACATTGTAATGCACAGAAGTAACAGCACAGTTCTCCAACTGCTGTATTTAGCAACCACGTGATCATTTCCAACATCTGCAATCTCTGCTTTAAAAGCTCTTTATTTCCTTCCCTGAACGTTGTAATATTGACCAACGACAGCACTCTGTCTTCTGCCGTTTTCTCTCTTCCTCTCCACGAGTGTTTTTCCTTGTCTGTCACGGATGAGTTGCGATGTCAACAGCACGCGCTGGATTTCCTGCCAGGGGCCTTGGATTTCACGTCTGGCAACAAGACGACCGAGTCGGTTTACACTGAAAGGTCACTCTTGTTGTGTTTTTGATTGTTATCCCAAGTCTCTGGGCTTGTGTCCCTCTGTCACTGATTGATATCTTTGCCTGAAGTGCCGTAAGTAAATGGCTTCTAGAGTGATTATGAGCGGTTTATTATACAAGTAATTACACGTGGTGGTATTAACAGTTCATCATTACACCGAGGGGTGTACAGAGCCTCTAAGTACTTTATAAAATGGGATCCAATGTGCTTGACCAGGAACAGTCACACATGGAAGCTTCGCTGTACTTCACTTATAAGTGAGTTCTGCTCTCAGAGCCCCCACCTACCGCCCGTCCCCCCCTCCTCTCAGATAATACTTACGCTCACATTCCTGACCGCGCGAGATGAAAAAGATATGGTTTCTAAATTTTCCCCTTCCCTATTCCCCTCGGTGAGGACAGTTTTGGATTACTGAGGGCTGCATTGTACTGTACCAGCCGACCACCACTGAGAACATTGTTTTTGTAGCAGATGCGAGCCACAGAGGATACAGTAGGCACACGTACACTGGGAAGAAAGAACAACTTTGAGGGTTGCGGTTTTGGGGGAAGACAATGTTCGGAACCTCAAGCAACAACAAACGGCGAGAGCAGGACCACCGAGGCACTGTTGAGGCATTGTTGAGGTTCGGTTTGTCTCCACATCTCCTGGTTGCTTAATTTAAAACATAGCTGCTATGCCTTTATGCTCGGGGGGAGATTGGGGGGGGGGCTTCTTTAACCGGCCCCCGATCCCAAATGAAATTCGTACCCCTTGATTTCAATTTCAAACACCTCGTGAAGGCGTTTTTGGCCCAGGCTCAAAACCCAATCACAACCGCTGTAACGGATATATTGAGATACCTATAAGGCTCAAGGGGATCTCATTTCAGGAAAGCTGACGTTGATGTGTTTAGCATATCGTACTCGTGCCGGCCGGTCCCCCCGAGCCCTTCCTGTGTAACATTTGCTTGTACTCGCCGTCATCTTGAGTTTGCTCTGATTTCTCACCCCGCGGTTAATTGCCAATTGGTTTTCTGTCCCTGCGTACGGACCCAACGTGAGCAGCGACCATTGGCTCCGTTCCCCCGAGCCGGTACGGCTTTTGGATGGAAGAATGGATTGTGCCCCTGAGAGGCTGAAGCCTGAGGGTCATCAGTTAACTGCATGCAGCTCTTTACATTGTAATGGGCTTTTTTTTTTAGATATTAGGTTACGATGAAGGAGATTACAGTAAAGGTTTGGCTTTCTTTCATCATGCATACCAGCGGTAAGCAGCTCCAAGGAGCCTTTGAGTTTTTGGGAAAACTATCTTTCTATCTGAAAATAGATTTGCTTTTATTTGCTTTTTGTGCTTTTATTTATGTTAATTCTAGCATTTTGTGTATCCTTTTAAAGGTTTTGTCCAATATTGTAGGCCTTACTTTTCCATCATTTCCTGTCCCTTCTATTTGCAAAAAAGAAAAAGCGATGGCAGCAACCAAAAGCTCCATAATATCCGTTTACTACCGTATCAATGCTCTGATACAGAATCCTTTAACTCGTTTTCTGAATGATTCCATTTGCTTGAAGTCCAGAGTTTGCTCCAAATCGCGGGGCAATAAACCTTCTGACAGACGGGCCTCGCACTGGCCGCATCCCATTACGGCCTTCAACTCTCTGGCCATCGAGTGTCTCCATTGCCTCGACGTAGTTATCCCCCACCTCCAGAACGTTGATCTCAGATTACATTTGGTACATTTGGTACAGTTTCATGTCTCTTCTGGAATCCAAGTGGAACCAGCAAAGCCACCGTGGCTCCATCTCACAATTGTGTCACGGGATTCACTTCCAGTGAGCTCGTGCATGCGTGCACGGAGACCTCCCGTTCGCTGTGTGGAACATGAGTGTCTCACATCGCCTGTGTCAAAGCACACGCGACACACTGTTATTCCCTCCTTGAGATTAAAGACACGAGTGTGCATGTAAACAAATGCGGTAGGCGTGACGGGAGTGGCGTATTGATGACGTGCATTACATAACAGGCATCAGGATAGTTCTAGCGTGTACAAACGGCTCTAAAATGAGCCAATTTTTGGATTTTCTCAAAAGATATTATTGACACAGCCTTTAGCAATTTGAAAAACCGGGCAATTTGAACAGCCAAGTTAAAGCCCCCCTTCTCCTCTTTCCAAAACGGATTGAATTCTAAATTTCCTTCACCTGCTCTCTGGCCCTTTGCATCGCTGTCGGGAGCTCTGACTCTCTGACTCATCTGCTGGTCATTTGTGTACTCACTTAGTTGTAATTGCAGCAGTCTGTGTTTTTTTCATATTGCTTTCATGTTTTTCTTGGCCAAAGATAAAGTGGAGACTCCAGCTCTACCGGGAATACAGAAGTATACCCAGACGTTTGACGCACACTCCCTCACTGCGCCATCAGGTGACCAGTGCCGGGGGGGGCTCGGATGCTTGTTTAATGCTCAGCACACCCCACAGTTTTGTTGTGAAATATGAGTGGAAAATGAATACTAATTTGGAAACTGTTACATTCCAAACCAAAACCTCTTGATGTCACTGAATAGTTTCTAATCAGATTATCAAAGATTTGTCCGCATCTGGCCGCCGCTTTGCCCCCGATTTTTAACCAAGTGGTTGGCTGATTGCCTGATTGATCATTAGATCAAGTGCAGGCACATGCTCAGAGTCACGAACAGCGACTAACAACGGACAACAACCGATGAGTCAGAATCCCTCCTGTTACAGAGACCGATCGGATAGATCAGAGCCAAGCCAGTTACATAACAGGCACAAAGTCAGGCAGCTTTTAAGGCCGGTCGATTTATTTCCTCTGCTGTGTGCAGTAATAATGCGGGTGATCGAGCACCAAAGTCTAACACGCGGAACGTCTACTCTTAAAGGTCCTCTGACACGCCAAGCCCCATTCGCTGTGGCTAAATTCACCATAGAGCTGCATCTGCTAATTGGAGCTTTAGGGACCATTGCGCATGCTTACAAGCCCACACACATAACGGATACAAAATAATGGCCACACAAGATGTAAACAAACGCATGCGCCATCACACCCCCTCGCATACACTCACCCTACCTGTGCTCCCACGACGACCCCTACAGAGAGGGAGGAATTACAAGCATGCAAACAGGCAAGTGCGGCACACCTCCCACCATCAGCATCAAAGGCAGCTCGCGTGTGGCAAATCTGCACGTCTGTGGATAATTGCATACTGTGCAAATATGTGTTTAAAAAAATGCCCACGTGTCAAAGAACTATACTGGCTCATTCTTTCTCTCTAAAAAGGAAG